CGTAATGCGCCGCCTGCATGACCTTGTTGAAACCATTTATTTGCAGTCGTGTAATCAAAATTTATTTAGAATATTCGGTACTGAGATGGCGTTATCTGTCATCCGTTAAATCGCAAAGTTATTGCTGGGATCCTAGATGACAAAAAAAAACACAAATTGTCACCCTGACTGGTCAATTTTTTTTGTTTTGAGTCAAAAAAAACAACGGGGAAATTATACAATGAACGGCTAAAATATATAACAAATTCATTAAAAAATCAACGGATGTCAAGAAGGGCACGTAGGTCACAACGCAAATGTCGATACCAAGTTCCTTTTTATAAACTAAACATAAGGATTTAATCTCATATTATACTAATAGAGAAAATAGTTCAAACCCATGTACTTTTCTTTTTACCCCTGTAACTGAAACTAGCGTATTGCGGATAATTAAGACTGTTACAAAAAAGGCAGTAGGTAGCCATGAATTCCCGATATTTTGTCTCACATCACCCATGTTTTAAACTATTGTTTAAAATATTCTACTCTCACGGATCAGTGGAAAAAGGCACTCGTCATACCTTTGGGAAAAAACTGTAAACGCAACAACCCTAGATAATATTCGCCACTTTTTAAACTTTCATTTTGTAAAATCTGTTCCCGACTTACCCTCCGATAAGGATTTAAACTCATGTGAAGGGTACACCGTCATCGCATTTTTTTACCTAAATAAAGTAAACAGACCATTCAGGTGCAGAATATTTCTTGTTGTTTTAGCAGAAAACTCCTCACTATATCATTAAAAAGTTAGATGGAATAATTGTCGCACCGGCAAAGAATCCAGTTATGGTTATTATAACAAATCTCCTGGATTCCGCCAGCGTCGGATGTTGATGAATTGAACTTGCTGACGTTTCGCCAATCATCCTGTTGGTTCGTGTTTTACTCTGTACTTGCTTATATATATATATATATATATATATATATATATATATATATATATATATATATATATATATATATATTGTTTGAGGGGGGCGGACTTAAATGAGGGGCACAAACACAGTCTCGGATGATTGATTCCCAAATCCTAACCGCGACTCAGGTCTCTAAAGTCTGTTCATAGATATAAGAAAGTGACTAACTGATACGAATTAAGGAAAGATCCGGGCAAGCAGTAAAAATGAAATATGCTCGAACAGGTCCATACTTTGCTTAGAATTTAATTATGTGGGGTTTTGTTAGGAAAGATACTAAACAATATTTATTTATTTATTTATGTAATTATGTTTAAATCTAAAATAAAATTATAAATTATTGTTATTACCTACTTAAATTACTTAAAATTATTCACATAATATATCAGTATCACTATCGCTATCATCGCCTGTTCTAATTATTATTTGTTCTATATTATTTGCAATATGGATATACGATTGTTCTGCTTTTTCTATATGTTTAACAGAATTTGCCCAACTTTGTGGAGGGATGTTAAAAACTTCGGTTGCTATAAGTTTGAGGACATTGGAGTTAACACGGGGAAAAACATTGTTACGACGAATGGCAGATTTCAGTTGGTGCCAAGCATGTTCAATGGGATTAAATATAAGTGATAAGTGATAAGTGGAAGCCTTAAAACTATATGCCCTAGTTTTTTTGCATAATTATCACAGACGTATTCCTTTTGTAGGTTCAACCTTTTTAGAACCTCAATTAATTGCTTTTTAGCATAATCTTCGTGAAAATAAATGTCGTTATTATACATGTAGTTTTGGGTTGTTGCTTTTGTGTCACATGAGGAAGGGGTTTTAGTCAACTGTCTACTGTGATAACTTGCATTGTCCATTACAATTACGCTATTAGGAGGAATGTTTCGAACTAGTTTGTTTTTAAACCAACTTTGAAATAAATTAACGGTGTTGTCTTCATGGCTGAAGAAGAAAGAAATCTTCATGGTAATCCAGAGAAGAATCTTTAATATTTTTCGCAGACAGAAAAAGTCCATTTGGAATCCAACCATCTTTAGAGCTAGCATGCAAAATAGTTATTCTTTTACCTCTTTTTGATGGCGCGTTTGTTTTACACTTATCAGTTGAGTCAACCCAACCCTTTTCCGGGGTATCATAAGTGTCGAACCAGGTTTCATCCAAGTAAATTATTGGCCTTTGCTGTGCTCTGTAAATCCTATTTTTTTCTAGATATTCCAGTCGCCATTTCAGAATTCTAAAAGATTCCATTAAAACTTGCCTTTGGTCAATTTTTTTAAATCTAAAACCCATGTGTTGAATATACTTCCATAAGGTGGTTCTGCCACATTTAACACCGGTTTCATCTTTTTCACGCCTCCTAGTTAAGATATCTAATGCAGGCACGCTTTGTATAACTGGCAAATTTTACGCCGTATTATACCTTGATCACTTTCAACTACACTGGAGAAAATGTCAGCATCGCTTCTTTTTTTCCTCACTGAAATGGGATTATTCACAATTTTCCATACAGTTGATGTTGGAATTTTCGTCAATGTGGTCGTTTCTTCTATACATGCTTGCTTGCGGGCACCACGTTCAATGAGAGTCAAATAAACATTGTTTATAACTTCCTTACTCTCAATAGAATAGTGTTTTCTACATTTGGGCGAGAGCATCTCCTGATATACACTAAACTAGCACATATTTTGCAAAATTCGCTCACAATTCAATACACACTGCATTACACACGAAATAAGAATAATTACTAATAAACTTAAACTAAGTAGTATACCAAGCCAAAGAATATTAAACACAGGTAGGTATAAAATTATTTTCTATTACGGACCACAATTTTACCTCAATTTAAATTCCGAAACTTTAGGTAATAATCTTGTTGCATTGTATGTTAATGACCACCCTTGGATCATGCCATTCAAAAGCATATTATATATCTATATCTATGAACAGACTATACCTGCCACCAATTTGGGAATCAGTCATCCGAGACGGTGTTTATGCCCCACATTTAGCTCCGCCCCCCTCAAACAATATATAAGTACAATACGAGCCAGTTTCAGTCAAGCTCTGAAGAACCAACAGGATGATTGGAGAAACGTCACTAATTTCGACTCAGCAAAAACCGACGCAGGAAGAATCCAGAAGTTTTGAAAAAAGTATTTTTTGTTCTAATTTAATTTGCAATTTTGAATATGTTTAACTGAATTTAAATGGGCTACCATTCAAACTAGTGCTACCTCTAAATATGATGGAATTCTAAATAGCGATGGGGTTAATTCCGTGGTTTTTGTTTGTGCTTAACTACTAAATATTTTACTTATTAACATGATATACATATTTAAAGGAATGTTTTTGCTTAAAGTTTAAATAATTTTGTACTTTTTTTATAATATCAGAACCGGCATTAGCTTTACATATGTATTTAAAGTTAAGAATTTTGGATGAGAAGAAAACTCTAACAGTCCAACTTCATTATTAACATAAAAGACAGTACAAACGGAAACCCTACTTTAATATTCTACAGCCAAAATGCCACGTTAGGGTTACCATACATAGTCGCGCCTGTGGATGTTACTGTAAACAACTGATGATTTTTGGACTGAATGGGAGGTCTGATTTTCTATTAACAAGGAAAGTTAAGAATTATTGAATGAATGAAACTTTACCTACCAGACCAATCATGCCACAACTCAGACAATAATATTATATATCATGTTAAAAAAATAATTCAGATTGTAAAGGTCAAAGTTTACGAGTTTCAGTTAAGCTCGGAAAAACCCAAGTTCAATTCATCAACAACCAATGCGGGAGGAATCCACAAGAAGCACAAATAGTAACTCGAAATCAAGTGGAATAAAATACGCATTTAAAATAATTCTAATCACAGTAACATGTTCTATCACATATGAAATTTGCTCAAATTTCAGAAAATGGTGAGTATATTGTTTTATTTGTTGCATAAAAATAAAACTTGGCTGCTAACTCTTCTTTTTTTTCTAGTTTTAAGTTCACTTATCCATTTATTAGGTTAGAATAAGGATATTGACATAAGGTTTTCAGTGGGTTGTTCGGCGCTTATTTGGCTATCTAATAACGGAAAAAAGTCATACATATATAGTCATATGGTTTTTTTTAGACGAGTATTTTTTCGTGATTATGTGAGAAAACGCCATCTGGTGGCAAGTTACGAAATCGCAATTGCGTCAGTCATGGGACGACTGAATCTCCTTTCTAACGACTCTAAGTATATTAAAATGCGTTAATCCTCTTTGGAGTTATTGACATTCATTTCCGAAAATATTCGAACACCCCACCAATTTCATTGCAGAGATAGAGCAAGGATAATTTCACAAAAAAGATTTTAATGTTAGAAAATTTGGAGAAACTCGAAAATATTGTTCAGAATTTTTTCTTGACCAATTTACTTAATTACCCTAAGTTACCCTCTGTGGCCACCATTTTTGGTATATACTTTTATTCAAAATAACATATTAAAAACAAGATGAGAAATTTCATCAACACAACATATACACTGTTTTATTAAAGCAACTAATATGGGGGTTTTTTAATGTTTGCATTAGTGATAAAAAAAAGATGAAATTCAAAAATCCCATTTAAATAATATGATTTGTTTCTTAAAAAAGAGCTTTGTGAAGCATTTGAATCTGCAAGGCAAAAAATTCCATTTATTCAATTGTTAATGTTAATATACCGATTCTTTCCATCTTCTTTAAGGGTACGTAGAAAAAATAGATACTAATAGATTTCCTATATTAATTATATTTTACTAAAAACATTTTTAACTTTTTAGTTAAAAAAAAAGTATATTATTAAAATTATAAGTGAATTCAATGGAGGTGCTTTGAATAACCCAACGGGATACATTGTTACGAATATTGTAAAATTATATGACTTAGTTCCAGACAGAATCTTAAAATGCCCACATTTTATATAAGCAATAATACATAAACACTTTCATTTCAGATAACAATATATACAGGCCAGCACCACATTACAATTATTCCAAAAACTTACCTCGTTTAAAAAGTCGGTCACATCGTAAATATCGTCGTTAATAACTATCCAGGTGCTATTCCTGTCATTATGCTTCCTTATATCCTCAAATGAATATTCGATATTTTGTGCCATATTTATGGAGACTTGAAACTTAAGGGCAAAATTTGAAAGGAAACAAAGCTTTCGATCTTTGTTTACGTTCTTCTGAGATATCAACTAGATTAAAATCAACGAACCGCACAGTTCAGCAATGATGTGTTCACGGATAAAACTGAGCTGCCACATCGACTTGCCGGAAAACGGCAAGACGCGTACATACTATAAGGATCTTTGGTGGAGGTTGTGGGTGGTTGTTGCAAAAAATTATTATCAGTCAGATTTTCCTCGTGGATGCCGCACAAAATGGAAAAAATATTAATTTAAAGAAAAAAACAAGAAAAGACGGTCAAAGGGAAATTTGTTTGTTTTATATTGTTTTACGAGAATGAAGCAATAGGAAATTTTCAAAATAGAAATATCGAAAATGTCAGGGATCCATAGATCTGAGTCAATGAAAGAAACCCAGCGGATTAATAATTTAAAGTACCTCGGTATCCTAAGGCATAGACAATTAATTTAAATTGTGAAAGTTTTGAAAATAAGTATTTTCTTGGTAGTTTTAAATTACTAAAAATATAAACTATCATCGACGTTATTGTCCAAACCAAGTGAAAAAAATATTCCGTACTACCTAAACCTGGATATAAATTATATTGCAAACAAAAGTAATAAGCGAGTGCAATCAGTGTATCTGCGCATAGTGGGAAAAAGTAAGAAGAAGAACGTAGGAGAACCAGAAAGCTTCATTTTAAAACAAGGCGCCCAACTTTGATTATTTTCTACAAGTAAAAGTCCAATTGCGAAATATCCTAAAATGGAAAGGCATCATCGCTATTTGGTGCAATATATGTTGAAAAATGGAATCAAACCTATTAAAAAAGTATTAAAGTACTGTACGCTAGTTAGTGAAGGTAACTTATTACAATTATGACTAATTACTAAGTACATATTAATGCTTATTTCAGGTGCAGTACAAGATGTGAATCAATTGAAGTTAATGATATTAGATATCAATAGAGAAATATCAAAACAAAACTTTAAGTTGGTGTTAGGAAGGTGTGAAGTAACTGATGAAAATATTGTAATGTGGTTGAATACTAAAGATGACAACATTTCTAAATTTCAAATATCATTTAGTGCTCTGGAGATGGAATATTTTAATGTTTTGTTAAAGGAAATTATAAATTCCCAATCCCATAAACTGACATATGCAACAGTGTTAAATATAACTTCAACTCTATCAACTCATTTATCCAGAGATAATGGACAAACAGTTTTTACAAAGTGGCTAAAAGGAGGTTACTTTGTTAAAATCGATGACTACGTGTATTTAGGTCCAAGAACAATATTTGAATTTACTTCTTTTTTGAAATCACATTGTCCGGAACAAATTTGCAACTTGTGTTTGGAGTTAGTATTCACAGTGAGTACACTAAACTTTATATTTTCCATTTATTGTATATTAATTCCTCCTATTTCTGAAAACGAATTTCATTCAACACAATTTATATAAATATCTTTTTAATTTTTGTTGGTGGTTAATTAACAAAAATCAACCCACGCCAAGGTGTCCAGAGAGGTGAGGCTATATTTTGGGCTAAGACTAAGACTTCTTTTGAGTATTTGGCGATATCGGTCTTTTTTTTTAACTTAGTTTTATTTTTATAAATGAAATTTCAAATTCAATGCTACCAAAATAGAAACTAATTAAAACAATTGCTGTTTGGTATGGCCCACTGTTTGGGTAAATTTTTGATCGAGCACCTGAATAGTTATGATAATTGGCCTTTATGTAAAATTGTACCATTTATGTTTTTTTCTTTTTTTAATAATATTGATAATAATATTATATAATATTAATGGTGTATTTTTATCATAAAAACAGAGCAAACTTAAAATTGTTGGTTTGCCTAATATACTATACAACTACTAATAAACTAATAAAAATTAATTAATACAAAATTTGAACCAATTTAATTTTTTAGGGCACAAAGTGTGGTTCTTGTGAAAGGCCATTTCATTCACATTGCTTGCAAAAGTACCTCAACAATCAAACCAATTGCCCATGTTGCAAGAATATGTGGAATGAGTTACGCAATGGAAATTGTGATCAAATGCTGCTGATGGATAACGATCCAGTAATTTGAATATTAGATTATGTTGTATATGTGTAAATTAAGCTTGTGATTTCAACTTCAGCTATGAAAGTCGTTTTACTTTTTTTTAAATCTGTGTGAATAGCATTTTATAAAAAAAATCTCTTTGAAGAGCTCCCTACTCCCTACTACTTTTGTTACTTATTTATATACTTATTTTTTTAATAAAGCCTTTTTAAAGTATAGCAAATCAGTGATGACATCAGTGATTTTCCCCAATCGAAATTTTAGACAATGGATTAGGCAAAATGACAGCATCTGGCCAGTAGTGAGCACGGAATTAAGCCCACTGGACTTTTCTTTGTGAGACACTTATGCCACAAATCATTTGGAGATACCACTTGTATTATTGAAAATCGCGGAATGTGGAAAATTTAATATAAAATTATTAACTGTATTTTATGAACAGTTTTTTAAATTAAAATAAAATGATTTGTACATTATTTTAAATAAATGATTATTGATACAATTAATATTGCCTCGGAACTGACAAAAATCGTCAATAAATTGAAAATGGTGCATTGTAGATCCACGTTCACATATGTAGTTGAATTCGTCTTTTAAAGGGCTATAACGAAAATGCTGAAACACACACGATGTTAACTTATAAAAATATTTTAATTTTGAATATTGTTTGAAAAAAAGTTTTATTTTCTAAAATGCGTTACGCAGAAAAATGTTTTAAAAGTTAATATGCAACGTAGCAAAAACCATTTAAACATCATCTGAATCCCGAAGATATTCGCTAATAACGGTACATTAAGGAAAATATAGGGTGTTCATTGTAAAAAAATATAACTTTATTTGACCACCCTGTATGTAATTGAGAGGCTATTGAAATAACATAACAAAATTAAACATCATTTTACTAGAAACAATTTCTTCATTCGAACTTTTTTTTATAACACTCATAGATCTGGAGATAAGCGGCCATCCTGTACATTCTACGTTTTCTTTCTGCATTTGGGTATATTAAAGGTTTTTTCGTTTAGGTGTTATAGAAAAATTTTGACCTGACAAAATTAAGAAGAAATGTTCATGTAAACGTAGCAAATGTAAAGTTTGGAAATTGTCAAAAAAAAAAATACCCGAGTTGTCAAACTCAAGTTTAGTAAGAACCTTCAAATTCGAGCTGAAAGTGTGAATTGTCCAGAATGTAGTCCTGCAGTTTTTGTTTTTTAAATTCTGGACTGTCTTGGGGCTAATTATACATATACTATATAGCAAGTAACAAGAAACCACGAAACACTATTATTCTTTGCAATAAATCAATTTCAATACAAGCAAATTATTATCTAATATTTTCATGTTTTAAATCACCCGCTTAATGAAGAACCTAGGAGAAATATCCAATAACTGTTAGGAGTTAAAACAAGATAGTGTACCCTACTTGTCGTTTTATGTGATCAAACAGTTGGAATCACCTAAACATTGGCGAAAGTGCTAGGAAGTGATACAAGGTACCAAGCGAGACAGGTTCCAACACATATTTATTCGTAATTGTAGTCTTTTATAATGCAACAAAATTGATTTAAAGTTAAGCTAAAGTAATTAGTATATTTAAACACCCAATTAAGGAATGACGTACCCCCCGGAAATGGTAATTTTCAACACGAATTTCATGTAAATATCTGCAGTGGCTTAATTTATGTTTGTGAACCGTACATTTTTCTCGATAGGTTAAATACCTTATTATTTTTTAATTTTTCTTATAGTGAGTTACTGTTAGTGTTAGGAAAGAAATGTGGAATGTGGATACAAGTAGATCGCGCTTTAGCTCACTACACAACACGTGAATTGTTGGTTGATTCGAATTCTTTGGCGTCCCCGGTTGTCAAACTTGTATCGCTGAATTTTTATTTTAAAGATACTAAAAAAGATAAGCTCGGCGCGACACCAATCGTAACAATTGAGTAACTTATCATTCGCATCCAACAATTTGGCATTGAAATGAGAAAAGACCCCAACTAAATATCCAAAGCAGTGGTTTCCAGACTTTTTTTCCTCATAAACCACATTCAAAACCTAGCTGGTTATGATCGATTTTCTATATAAACTCCATATAAGTATATCTATCATTACTTCTCAATTATTGTTTATTATTATTTGCCTTAGTAATAGTTTTTATTATGCTCGACCTTCCACGATCTATATCATTACAAATTAATACATTTTATTATTTTCAATAATTCCTGTTTGGTAGGGTATATTATTATTTTGGAAATAGTCTTAGTAGTTAACATAATGGATCATTATGCAAAAATATACCATATTTCTTATTTTCCTTTTTTTTTAAATTTTCGATATTAATATATTATTTTAAATAATTTCAATGCGATGGGTAACATAATAATGATATTGCAATTTTATTTAGTCCCTGTTTCTTTATCCTTTAACTAATCCCAAATTTAATCTTAAAGGCTACATACTTTATGCCAGAAAAACTTCGTAGCATATTTTACCTAAAAGCATGCAAAAAAAAAAATACCAACATATTTATTATTTTACACATACAAACAATAATGAAGTTCGAGCAGATGAAACAAAAACCTTGATTAAAATGATGTTCTAATTCATGTTGCATGAATAACAATAAACTTAGTAAAACTATATTGAAGTATTTAAACCTTAAAGTGTATCGGGGAGTATATCTGACAGTCTTTCACTGTAGACCTTAATTCAACCTAGTAACTTTGATATATAATTTACATGTAGCATGCGCTTGTTATTTCACTTTGAGAAGACGTTTAGCTGCCAGGACAACATCCTTAGACTGAGGTATCGCATCTATTTCTAACGATTTCGTGTATGGCATGGGTACATCCGCACCTATAAATATACAAGTAATAATTATACAAGCCAAATGTAAAAAAAAATACTAAAACAGTACATTTCGCAATAAATTAATATTTATTAATGAACAATAAATAATTAATAAATGAAAATCTCGGTTGATTTAAACATTATTGTTATTAGTACAAGAACAAAAACCGAATTAAAAAATCTAAACTAAATAACACGGTCTCAAACAACAGTTAAGTCCATTTATTTTTGGAAGATCTCTCCTTCTTGGCTGAAAAACTTCATTTAGTGGATGTTATTGTATATTCCATGGCCGCATTGTCCAGGAGTAATCTACCCTGATTGCAAGGTTTCATCGACCTTGATATCTGCATTCCATTTCTTTTATACCTTCGTATGAAGTGTAGTTTTATACTCATATTGCATCTCATTTCCCTAAATTTCTCTAATATGTTTTCTATAATGTCTTTGTAATCAGCATATTAGTTGTTTTCTAGAAAACCTTTTACAACATCAGTAAATCAAACCCATTCAACCATTTCACATTCGATCATGGAATTCACAAAGTATTGATCTTCCATTATTCTCTTATTTGAAGACCTTCAAAAATTCCTTCGTATAATTTTGCTTCCACATAGGTACTAATTTAATATACAAAGGTGGTAAGAAAATTTTTCGTAGATCAATAAGACTATCGTGAAGAATGTTTATTGATCCGAAAGTTAAATTAAGCCATTTTGGCCAGTTCTTTTTCACCCAATGTTGTTGTCTGTTTCTATTGGCCCACTCACACAAAAAACAGGGGTACTTCGTATGCTGCTGACCTAGTAAGAAGTCCCACAATTTTTAAGACATCATAAATCATTGAACTCTAGCCCTTGTGTGTTATTTTCTCAAGCAGGTTCGGTTGTGCAAAAGAACAGCTTTAAGCTTCTCTTGGACGTAGAGAATTGTAGTCGGTACCAAGTTTCTTTATTAGAGTCGGAACATTGGTGCAACAAAAAATATCACAATAGCCTATAAAGTTTGTCTCGCGCTTCCGAAAATATGAGATTTGAATGTCTTATGTTAGCAAATTTCATTTCATTTAGTCATTAAGTTCTGATTGTGAAAATAGCTGTCGTTGCGGAGAAACACATATCATAGGTATTACAAAGGGTAGGGATCGCTTGGTACCATTATTCCAATATCTAAAGCCTGCTTCAAGCTTTGTCTTGACCACCAATTTTTACTTTAAAATAAGCGTGGTATGGTTTTTTAAACAGGCGTGTAATTTTACATCAAAATTTTTTGACCACAAAAGAACCACAGACAGAGCAAAACGTCTCTGGAATATTTTTACCAAGTCTTGGCATTTTAAAAAGAAATTTTACTGCATAATGCTCGGTAACCTCACGCAACTACTGCCTGCAACAACGCGGCAAAACACATTATTATAACTCCAAAAATATGAAAAATACCAAATCACAAAATCTGAATTCGCGTGTGTTCATCAGAACAATATATTATGAGATCTTTAGATAGTTGGCGAAAAAACCGGTCCTGCCGCGCGAAAGTCGCGTGACTCTAATAGATCCAGCAATTTCAGTCAGTCGGGCTGCGGTCCGGGAAAACACGTATGTTTATGTAGGTTACCGGCATATTAAATTGTTTAAAACTCGTTTTTTTTTGTTTTCTTTTGTGTAGGTACTAACTGGAATGTTTTAAAAACCCGTGTGGATTCGTAGTAAAAGCCAAGTGACATAAATCGGACAAACAACAGTGCAAACTGCCCGCCAAGTTGTGTCTTTGGATATCGGTGTTTGTAGGTTATACCGCCGTATTTTAAACTTTGAAACTCGGTTTTTAACTGTATTTTTTGTGTTATCAATAACTAAAATGTTTGAGAAAACCGGTTGGCATTTGTGATAAAAACCAAGTACCAGAAAGTACAAAGAACAGTGCAAACATGCCGCGATGTTGTTGTGTTTGTGGATGTCGGTCAAATTACAAGTCCGAAGAAACAGGACCTGTTTCCACTTTCAGTTTACCATCTGACCCGAATCAAAAAGAAGTTTGGCTAGGAAAGATACCTAATGGTATTAGGCAATTAAAGAAACCAGCTGTATGTATAAAACATTTTGCAGAGAAAGATGTTATGTGGATTGACAAGTGCCTAGTTAAAGGAGAGTACAAAAAATATTCTCGTGAGAGGCCAAAATTAGTGGAAGGTGCTGTGCCAACTATTTTCGAGAATGCCCCAAAGTAATTCACCCAAACAGAGCCCAATGTTGTTCGTTTAGCTGATGTGGAAGCAGAGCAAATGGAGGCAGCGACAAAAGCAAGCCTAGAGACACAAAAAACCTTTGAAAATGCCAAAAAGGTTTCATCACTGGGAGATAGGTTTGTTTAAAATCGATTGTAAGATTTGACGACAATAACACCTACATTGCATTGCATGTTAAATAAAGGCTTGTAATAACTGTAGATCGTGAAAATATGTTTAAAACAATTGATACTAATACAATAAATAATACCTGACTCTAAATAAGTTTCGATATTTCGATTTTTTTTACCCTTTAAATCACCGATCACCTATTTTTTTTTGTAATCTGTAAAAAGGCTTAAAAACGCATGAAGGATGAGAAAATGATAGAGCACATGCTGCTGTGGGAAGAATTAGGTCCTCAACATTCAGACATGATCTGAACTAAATTGCCCCTTCACAGTACAGCGGAATTTCAACGAGAGCTGAATCTAATGGGAACGTGAATACCTCGGAATGGCCGCAATAGATGACTAGATCACAGCAGGTCTGGACAGCGTCCACACACAATAAGTTGTACACTATTATTTTGTGTATTTATTTCAATCACTTCAGACAAAATTATTTGTTTTGTTTACCCAGTATTCCCAGTGTTTTAATCCTGCCTGCCAGATACTACATATTTTGAGGATATCAAAAGAAAGATTTAATAATAAACTACTGGAAAAAATTTATACAAATTTTTGAGATGGGACAAGTGCAGAAGAGAAACTTATAAGAACTCTAAAATTTTTATCCACAAGTGGAACTTATCTCAGCCTAATGTAAACCCTCTAAATATGATAGTCGCTGCATTGCACTCGTTATATGCATGAACCAGTTTCATGAACTTTATTCACGAAGAAATTAACAGTGTAAAACTAGCATTAATTATTAAATCTTTTACTATGTAGTACAAATAAACTCTACTCTAAATATAAGATGAATGGTAAAAAAAAATAATTCTTACCAGTAACTCTTATTGCAGGCTGATCCAAATGGTAAAATGTTTCACTTTCCATAATTTGTGCCAAAATCTCAGCACCGATACCACACGTGGGCCAACCCTGCTCGACACTAATTAAATGGTTGGTTTTTACTACGGATTTTGTTATCGAGTCAATATCTAAGGGCCTGAGTGATCGCAAATTGATAATTTCCGCTTCGATTCCAATACCCGCTAATTCCTTCGAAGCTTCTAATGCGGTCTCCACCGCTTTCGAGTGGGCTACTATCGTCACATGCTTACCTAAAAGGTAAATTTACTTATTATCATCAATAACTAAGTATTTATTTTTTAATTTATTTAACTTGACAAATAAATACAAAAAATATATATAGTTTACAAAAATCCTCTGGATAGTGCTTAAAAGCACTGGTATCGAGAATAAGTAACAAATAAACAGCTGGCCTATGTTAAACACTATACATATAGGCTAAGAAGGCTTTCTGGTATAAATAATTACGTAAGGCGAGTTTACAAATAATTTTAGTAGCATTACTTTGATAGAGGCTAATATTTTTGACAGTATCAGTTGATCATATGTGTTGAAAGCCTGAAAAATAGGGTTATATAAAGCCCTCGTCACTTTTAATGATTTTATGATATATATAATTTTATGTCCTGGTGTCGTGTGGATGTACATTTCTGCAGCGCATTATTTTTACGTGTGTGTTTTGAGTTTTATTTAAAATTGTGTACATAAGTTCAGATGGTTCCAAAAGAAATACTTTATCCACCATCCAGATCTCTAAGTTGCGGTTAGGTCCACCGTGTGAGTTAATCGGTTAAAATTATATAAAACCTTTAATATTATTTGGCAGAACTTGCATCGAATTTCAGTTTACCAACTCACAGATGGCTTCAGACAGGAATCAGAAATATGTCTAATGTATTCGGTCAAACTCAGACTATTGTCAATTAAAATTTTTAGGTATTTTGTTTTTGATACATGCTCAACATGTTTATTTTTTATTTTATGTTCGGAATTTTTACAGTCATGTTTTTTCAGTTTAAATAACATAAATTTGGTTTTATTAACTTGTTATACAATAACCGATCAGTATATAGCTGCAGATCAGCAACAACAATGTAATCGATTTCCTTGACATTACTAAAAGCGCACCAAGCACACAAAATAATAATCTGTTTGGCTGATATTGACCTTTATCAGACAAATAGGATTGTGTAATATTATACATGTCGACTCTGAACCTCATATTACATAATTTTTGCAATAAGACATTAACTAACAACATGAAACACTTTTTACTAAGTTTAAATTATCTAATTCAGTCACATTATTTACAAAATTGACCACGGCGCTTTGAGTATCACTGTCTTTAATAAAGCCATTCGTCCAGATAATTGCTAATGAAAAACATCATTCTCTTCGCAATTTTTACAACCACACTAGTAACACTAATACGGCGATAATTATACATACATTTTCTACAAACAGACAGAAAGACTTATTTTATTAATTTTAAAGTCTTGTGGAACGCCACTGACAAGGACCCCGCTGACTTGCTTAGTTCAAAAAACTACAAGTTCACCCCTAACATTAAGTACACTTTGAAGTTTTTCCTGATACAATAAATTTCACTGAATTGAAAGCTATTACGTCCAATTTGTAGTAGGTTATCTATTTGATTGTCAATTTCTTGTCCTATATTAATTGGATCATTGACTTTTCTATTGACAATTATTGACTCTTAATAAATCGCCACTGTTTTTTGTAATCATAACCACAGTCACATCATATTTTTCTAAAGTATTGATTTTTAAAAGTTTTAATATTATTTGTTACCTACAAAGTGTTGTTTTCAGCCGCCAAAGGGGAACAATATTTGATGCTTGCTTGGTCGACTATTACAGAGTGGATAACAATCCTGGACTTGGGGGTTACTCGACTACCATGATCAAACTCAATAGTATTTTTAATAAAATAATTATTTAACTACAATTTATACATTTTGCTAACGGCAACTGAAGAAGTGTTAACCCAACATTACCTCACATTTTGCTTCCTCACTTGGTACGTTGGTTAAAAATAGATTAATGGGGCCTTTAATGGCAATCGGTTTTTAAATTTCCCTATTAGTTTTCTCTCCAAAAAAGTTGCATTTTCATATACCTACAGAAGTATTTGATTAACTAAAAATTCATTTTTTTTTAAATACAAAGGAAAAAGTGTTTGCCAGACTTTTGTTTTTGATGGATCATAAATGTTCAGAGATTTTTTAGCAAGTGGTACATTTAGTTTTAACCTGACCTTAAAAATTTTTGATATATGGATCAAGTTGGCAAATGAGTTCTTTCTTTAGGAAGTTAACATTAAAATCATATCCGCTTCAATTCAGCACACGTTTAGTGTAGGTGGCCACCTAAGAGAAATAAATTGCCTGTCTATTATTTTAAGAGTTTGTTGTTAAAAACAAGATATTTCTTATCATTTAATTCTAAATGTTACATGTGAAAATGTAAGCAATTTTGTATTTATATTTATGTTTATTTTGTATTACCGTCTTCCGCTTCAATTCAGCACACGTTTAGTGTAGGTGGCCACCTAAGAGAAATAAATTGTCTGTCTATTATTTCAAAAGTTTGTTGTTAAAAAATAGAAAATTTATTATAATTTAATTCTCAATGTTACATGTGAAAATGTAAGCAATTTTGTATTTATATTTATGTTTATTTTGTATGATTGTACATGCATGATTTGTGTGTAACTTGCTTCCATTATAACTGATTCCTTTTCCGAAACGAAATGTAAATAAATTATTATGTACGTGTCTCACATAAAAGACCTAAAGCGTGTTTTATTTTCGATTGGCAACATGTCTTACGAATTCAATTGTTTTATGATGGTCATGTGACTCAAAGATAAACACGTGAACATTTTACATACAACTCGCAGCTCGAAGCTAGCTACAAATATATAACATAAAGGTGTATTTAAATATTTACAATGACCCATATACTTTTCTGGAAACCTACAATAGGTATGAAATATAGATAGCTAATGTAACAAATAGGTATCAAAACTTTTTAAGTACAAAACTTATTTGAATTTAAGGTAATTTCTAGAATATTCACTTGTGCATTATACATTTCTTCACACTAAAATGTATTCACTTAATGCATTATTCGTTCGTTAAATCATTCTAGATGCAAAATAAAGAGCAAGTAAAAATATCCTGATCGTGACCATGATAGCATTTCTTATATCTGTTTTTTAGAACTGCTATGCTAGGATTACATTTTAGAGAGAATATTAAATTTTTGGAAGTTTGTTTAGAATATACTCGGCATTTAAAATGATTTCCTCTTTTTTGATAATACAGAGAAAAAATGCAAAAACTCATTTTTCAGTCTCAGAGAGTTGGTGCGTACAACAATGTTCGGCAGTGGTTTCACTTGTGTTAAGCATGGTTTGTTACAATTTTGAACGTGATTCTGGAAAGAAGATAAGCGTAGATTTTCAGCTTAATCATGAATCATAATCACATTGGAAAGGGTGACAATTTTTTTATTTTGCCTACAAAAAGAGTAAAATTTTGAAGCTTGCTGTAGAGGAGCACAGCCACCGAGAACTAGATTTAAACTTTTTGGAGCACAGATGATTTTGCTTGTCTTGGATTATAAGTACGATAGTAGGAAGATGAAATTTGTTTTTGCCTTATTCTACATTCATATTAAGCTTCCAAAAACGAGATAACTTTGTATCATATTTCCATATGTCATGCTAACTATATAATCTAAAATACAAGTCGATTTTAGTTAGTTAAGGCATCCTTATTTCTTCTATACTAGCTACTCATTGGCAATTTGGCTATCTAGTTGAATCCACATTAAAAAAATGAAAAAAAAAGTAGGCAAACGCAAAAAATAAGTAAAACTTACCGGGTCGTTCAATTTTGGCTTTACCAATAGGAATAAGAAAATCTTTACTAAGTGCTTCATCAGACATTGGATACTGAACACCATAAAGAATTTCATTTTCTAAAAACACCACCGGGTCTGGATCCCGAATTGCTGACTTGAGTAGACCTTTTGCATCTTCCGAATTATATGGTGAAATTACCTGAAAATAATTCCTTTTTCAATACACTACTGTCGGTTACAGTTTTAATCAGGTTGGCACAACGTCAATTTTTCAATGGATGATTTTGTTTGTAAAACATTTACATTTGAAATGTTCACTTAACAAGATAACTACCAGTTGGTTTTCACTGAACTCGATTTAAAACGGAGTTAAGAGGAAGACGGGTTAATACTAACGGCAAATACTTCTAATACGAGATGGTTTTTAAGAGTTTCTCATTTCTCCTACCTGATTGAAGTTTGGGGGCGTAAAGCGATTGTTAAACGGTTCTTTACGAAATCATTTCAATTCATTTTTTCTTTTTTTTTTAATTAAATTTAAATTGTCTCTCTCTCACACTCTCAGCCCCCTCTGTCAAATAGTGAACATACTACTACTACTTGTCTCCATTCTTCTAGATTGCTCGCTATGTTTATCCATCTCAGACCTGCAATTTTCTTAATGTCATCATCCCACTTGATCTGCGGTCTGCCTCTTTCTCATTTAATTGTCCATGGTCTGTATTGTATGATCACCTCGTTCCACATTTCAGCATTATATTTTGTTCTGTTGTGTGTGTGTAGCTTAGATACTTCTCTTTCGACATCTTTGGTTTTAGTTTTCTCTCTCCATATGTTTGTGCTTTTATTCTTTAATTTTATACCTAGCATAAATCTTTTCATCTCTCTTTCTGTTTTGTTTATTTTGTTCTTGTGCCCCATACGTGGGTAGTGGAAGAACACATCGGTTAAAAATTCCTAGCTTTTATTATATGCTTTTATTTTTTAGTTTTATGCCTAGCGTAAATCTTTCCATCTCTTTTTTGTGTTTTGTTTATTTTGTATTTGTGCCCCATATGTGAATAGTGGGAGGACACATCGGTTAAAAATTCCTAGCTTTCCAAATGCATCCTTTCTTTGGAATTCTGCTGTTTAATTCTCTTTATCCATTTTGATCTGTTGTCCGAGATATATGTTATCTTTGACTTGTTCTATTGTATATGGCCCTATTGCAATTGTGGTGTTCTCTTGTGTATTTATCATGGTTTCGGTTTTATACTAATTTATTTTGAATCCTATGCTTTAGTCTTGTATATCTAGTTCTTCGATAATTGCAATAAACTCATTGTTTGTTATTGGTACCATGTCATCAGCATATCTTACGTGGTTCAGGTTTTTTTTTGCTAATATTGTTTCCTTCTAGATTTCTGAATATGTCTTCCAATGCCATATTGAAAATTCAGCAAATGCTGAGAAAAGTGGTATATGGTTTGCTTTTTAAATAATTATTTTCATTGTCAGTAAATAATCGCTTATACTAAACCCTTTTCTAAAACTGGCTTGTTCTTTAGATTGGTATTCATCAAATTGTTGTTCAAGTTTCATTTGCTAATATTTTTGTCAGCAATTTATATATGCTGTTTAGTATTTTTTTATGTCTGTTTTGCCCCCCTTTTTTAGTCCTGTGATAGAGTCGTGCCAATCGTTTGATATTCTTTTCCCTTGTAAATTTAATTTAAATTAGAAAAAATAAATTTGGTTAAGTAGTATAATAGAATATAATTCAATCATTTTTAGTCATAAAAAAAATGCAGATGTATTTTTGTAATAGTAATACTTTTATTGTTCCACCCATCTTCATTTTTCCGTCATATTTTTAGCGTGATATCTGTTATCTCATATGATAAATGTGGTTTAGTTGGATGGTATAGGTCTTTTTTGAAATCCCTTAAAGGGTATAAACTGCTATTTTCTGGCCAATAATGTGTCTGAAACGTTAGAGAACACTTAAACCCTTTATTATAAACATTCTTTTTTACTAATATTTAAAGAAAATATTGTTTGATCGCCAAATAACAATATGAAACAAATCGTCCAAATTCCAGTGGGTTTGAATCTTTATAAATAATAACAAAATATATTAATTCAGAATGAACATTCCCATTTTCCCATTTATATAAGTGAAAAGTGAAGCAAATTTTGTGACTCAATATTTTCAATAAAACATTCTTATCCTGAGGCTTTTTGATTTGTAATAATTAACATTTGAAAGATTACAATATCTTAGAAACGGATAAATTAGGTTATATGAATTTTGCTTTAAAGCAATAAGTTTGGATGCGGCGATTTTACTGCAGTATTTTCTCAAAATATACCCTGATTGCATCAGTAGAGCTACTATATAGCCAATGGTTCAAAGTATTACATTATATTAGCTGAGAGTGTTATTTATTTACCTACATTAAATTAAGGATGAATTGGAAACCACTGTCCCCATAAACCATATATTTTTCACAATTTCACAAATGCAATTATTGAAAGTGGAGAACTGGAGAAGATCTGACTGCTTATGGCAATGACATTTCTTGTTTTCATCTAAAATTAATTGACCACTACACATGATAATCACAGAATGAAAGTAACAACTGCATTTGACAAAAATGATTTTCTTCAGGTTTTCCAATTTCATTTTAATGGTTGTTTTTTAATCAACCTTGATCAGTAATTATCAACATTGCTAAAAAACGTTGCTCACAGTTTTTTTTTTTACTAACATGACAGTTGATTTGATGGATTTGAATACAGTAAATATTAAACCAAATATGTTACTTAATGAATAGGAAAAGTCAACCATCCAAACAGACTACTAAAGTTAATAAACAACAAAACTCTGAAGATGACCCAGGTACAGTGTCGAATTGTTGGTATAGTTGGTAGAGGATTTAATCGAATATATTTTTCCAAACCAGCCATAATTTCGTGTTGTTTAGGGTTTAGAAAGTACAACATAAATGTGAATTTCAGAATAATGATTCCCGCAGTAAAAATTAAAATAAAAAAAACTTTCTATGTGGTACTACATTATTGCGTCAAAATTGGATAGTGTAGAAAGGACAAGAAGTAAAAAAAAAATAACAAAACTATTTCACAAGGGCACGTTCCACAATTGATTCTTCATCGGGCACATATATAGCAATTCAAAAATATCACAAGCTTCACTGTTGATATTAATACAATCACAAATTTCTATCATATCTCCATTATTTTTATATGGATTGGCCAATATTTTTGTTTTACACTTTGTTAATAACATTTGCCATTTAAAAATTACCATTCTAATGAGTTAACCCCTCTTTAATTGGTTTGTTGTTACAAAAAGAAGCTGAATTTGTTCTTTGTGTTAATTTGTTAAAAAATATATAGTACTTTACCATTTACTTTTGAGAGTATCAAAGAGAAAAGTTGGCAATATTTAGTTACAACTTAGGCACAAATGTTATCTTATGTCAAATTGTATGTACATAAATAAACCAACATGATAAGACTACAAACAAGAAAGAAACTTGCATATAAAATATAGATCATGTTAACCAAATTATGTATAGAAAAGTTCAACTTTACAATAAATCAAAATTTTTGTAAGGTTCTATAGCTCAGTCATTCATACATTTTCCTAATTCAGATTAATTGTCCCCATTAAAATTACCCATGTAAGGCAACAAAATAGCAGTCTCTCTTGCATTTTTTATAACTCCAAATTGTGGAACAAATCAAAGTATTTCAACATAATACCTTTAATCCAGGGCAATGAGCATACCATGCACCATAGCACTGAGAGTGTTGAGCTGCAACACCAGCTGCGGAGCCATTGGGGCCTCTAAACACAATTGGTATGTTGACACGTCCGGCAGACATGTAGAAAGTTTTTCCCGCTGAATTTATAATTTGATCTATGGACTGCATTGCAAAGTTGAATGTCATAAATTCACAGATTGGCTTAAGGCCGGCCATTGCTGCACCAGTTGCAATACCTATCATCAAATAAGAACGTCAACATTAAATGAATTTCAAATAAAAAACACTGAATTAATATTCTCTGTGATAACTACCCAATTAAAAGGAGTTTACAATAATAAGTTATTTTATTTATACAATATTAACCAAAACTAACCAAAAACTTGTTTTTGTCTAGTTTTAAGTTGCTCTCCATTTCTTGTGGTGATGAATTGCAAAAAACACTAATAGGCAATATAAAATTCTGATAGGGTATTACACTTCAATTTTCTTAATTATTTTCATTAATAATTATGTGTTCTTATTACTTATTGCTATTTTGCATTGCAACTCAAAAATAAACAGGGAAGAGTTGAGCGCAACTTGCTTCAATAAAAATCGAACTGCAACTGATGATATGCCGGCATCAAATTGAATTGAATTCACATCAATAATGGCTGAGCGTTTTTAAACAGTCGGTCAGTGATAAACAGAAATAAATGTGAATAATACATATACAACAATGGAACATTCATTCTGATCTTCAATACATTACGGGTAATAAAAGCGGCAATCTCATGCAAGACTATTATGAAATAAAACTATTTACCCTACACCACATTGGGTCACTTAAGAAAACTTACACAATATTATTACCGACCTGTAAATCCCATTTCAGTAATTGGAGTATCGATAACTCTCTTATCTCCATACTTTTTCCACAGTCCTCTAGTTACTTTATAAGCCCCATCATACTGAGCGACCTCTTCACCAAGGATAAATACCCGTTCGTCTCTTTCCATTTCTTCATCCATTGCAGAATTCAGTGCATCTCTTACAGTCATTTGTTTACCACCAACAGCCAAAGTCGAGGAAAAAGATCTTTTTCCCAACATATTTTTTAAGTTAACCTTGTTTAAGAGGGCCACAGCTTTTCTGGGTATCATTTTACTCAGGATAATCTAAAAAAGGATCCATTAAGTAAATGAATGTACCTACTTAATCCCTAGGAAGAACTTGCTTCAAAAATTCCAAGGTGAATTAAGGTCGCCAACGAAGCTGTCGGTTACCGATTTGATGTTAATCTCGAAAATCGTTTCACAGTTCAAAAACGAATACGTAAGAGGACATGTGACGTTATCTCAGTTTTCATGCCGTCAGAGCCAAATCAAAATTTCGAAAATAACCCAAACAGGAGCTCAGTCACTTTTTAGGTTATGTCGAATAGCATATAGATTTCTAACCGTAGAATTGGACAATTGGTTTAGTTTCTGGTTTCAAGATGGCAATACTAGCCAAAAATTTAGATGCAACATTTTAATAAATACACATGCCGCCAATATGGTACGTGATGTATTAGAATAATATAATCCGTCAATGTATCAAATCAAATCGACGTTGTAGGGCGTTGACCGAAATTGGTCTGTGGTAGGTCAGTGCACCACGCTAGAGCACGACCCCAGAATAAGCACCATACAGAAGCGATAAAAAGCCCAAAATAAAATGCTTATTCAGGTAAAGAATTTTTGAAGTCAAGCTTGCAATAGGCGACGCTTGCCCTACTTTACACTGAGAGAAATAGCGTAATTGTAAAATTTGAAACGGAATTATTTGAATATAAAAACATCTATATCTATTACCTATATAAGTCGCTCTGTGAAGGTTGAAACTGAAACTTGGAGAACAGGTCAGTTAGGAAGGACAAATTTTTTTATTGGTAATACATCATAAACCGCTCCGAGAGCTGAAAATTACCCCATTACCTATAATAAACCAAACCGGCTTAGGATTGCAAAAAAAACTCTGTCTGGAACTGCACATAACCTATAATAGGAACTATGTAGTGTCCGTGCAGTGCCGTGCTTATTGTAAAACAAACCCGCAAATTTTAACATAACGGAACCTATTTAACAAATTTAAAAATAATCTTACATGTGGCTATCGTAGCCCAAGGGGGTTCTTAACCCTTCACTGTTTTTTCAGAATGGGATTTTAGAACTTTCTAAAATATGGTACTAAATATGTGGTCAAAATTTCAGTTGAAAATATGCGTATGCTTTCAACTCAATAAAAACCAAAAATATGTTCAATACTATGTAAACTGTAATGTGAATGCATTTCTACTTATTGTTCAGGGTCTTTCGAAAAAAAAAAAACAAACAAACAAATATATTCCGCTTACGAATTTGCTATTGCAGCCACTACAATAGAATTACTTCCTCCCGGAATACTTCACGTTTCTTTTTCACAGCAAAAGTAAGCACCACAAGTAAGATTCTAAAATAATCCAAACCTCAAAGATTTATGACCGCATCCTTTTGTCGCTTCTGTATGATATTTATTCTGGGGCATCTTCCTTATTTTTTTTTAAATTTTGATTTAGACGTCCCAGTTTTGATACATTGACAATTTAAAGTCACAATATGAATAATAGAAACTATTTTCTGTTTTTATTGCAAATTTAATAAATTATTTTGAAAATGAAAGACGGAGTGGAAAATCATCAACGAATGCCCAGGAAATAGTAGCGGAAGCACAAAACAGTTTAAGGACTGTACAAAAAATTGTGCATGAAAAAAACACATGGCAATAGATAACGAAGAAGATTAAAAAGTGGATTAAAGGATAAAAGAATTAAAAAGAACACTGAGGATTGGTGGGAAGATGTGAAAATGGAAGTTCGGAATGTGATTTATGATTTATATATATCAAAAACCAATGCAACTCTTCCCATTTTGAAACTCTAATAAAATAAAGTGTTTTGGATATTGGGCTTAAATAATTATCAAAATTAATTATGTTAGGTTGTCGCTATAAGAGGACGGAGACCGAAGATTTTTATGAACAACCACATATATTGATTCCGCATGTGAAAATTACATATTTTTACACGAAACGTGGATATTTTCCAGTGGAAGTGATTCCCAGAATGGTGAACCTAAGTCGCGGTTAGAATTATTTGATTGTTTAGGGATTTCTGTGGATTTTTGTATTTTTTTTTTCGCAGAAGAATTGATCACATGCATTTTGGTTTCGTGGAATTAGATTTGATATTTTTCGTCCTGCTTCTCCAATTTATTGTTTGCAGCATATGCACGAAATGCTAAAAACTGATGTTTCAAACGGAATTATGTCCGTGACAGATCAAAGAAGCTAAAAGAAGTGGTAAATCTGGTTTTAACATTATATATCTTAAGAACTGTTGATAGGTGGTCAGTAATGTTTTGAATGAACAGTGGCAAGTGTGGGGTTACTTTCGGTCTGATTTTCTTTGGGAGGTTGTGGTGAAGTCTGGAAATTATTAGAGAGCAAATTATGGCTTCAGTGATTCGGTTTGAAATAGCTTTATAGCCCTGTATACATGAGAGTTGATAACCATTGATTTTCAGTTCGGATAGTGATGTGACAATTAAGGTCTGGATGTAGATGTTCTTAAACTGTAAACAAGTGTTACATCTGATTTTCTTTTAATAATAAGAATGAAGGATTATTATTAATTTCTAATTCAATGGTAAAACTTATGTTAGTTTGTATAGAACTTAAATGGCTTAAAAAAATATGTTCCAGGCAAGCATTTTGCAATGAAAGCTTTTTATTACAGGTTCTCGGATTTTAATGTATCTGAAATAATATTGAGAGTTTCAGAAATAAAGACTTCAGTAAAGAGGGATTCTACGTCAAAATTAACCAGAATATGGTTTTGAAACTAATATAATGGTTTTTATTTGTTCAGTGAAGTGCAATGAAATAATTACGAAACTGTCAATTTTCTCTGTAAAATGGTGCTAAATAGCTCGTAGGGAAAAAACAACCTTTCTTTTTATGCATTTATAAGGTATCCTGTATCAGCCTTCAAATTTTTGTTTTTTTCTATCGCCAGCTGTTTCACAGTTGACGTTGCACTATTGGCAGACCCTGTATATATGTACTATTTCATTACTTTAAAAACACGATTAGCATACCTTTGCTAAAGTAAAAGCTTATGGGAGGTTTTCGAGGCATGCGATTCGAACGCTGTACGATAAAATATTCATTCATTCAGGTCGACAATTTGTATTCTGTTTAATAATAATTGGTTCCTAAGCGAACACTCTGCTACTCGTAGTGCACCCATTCGAACAAAACCCCGATCTGAGTATACTTCATATTTGATCGTTCGCTTGATATTGCGTGTAGCGTTGCCACGTTGATTAATCGGTTGGAGAAACTGATTAAAAGTGTTCCCGATACATTTGCATCCCAGGTAGGCGTTTATTTTTTATTTAGAATTAATTAATTTAAGTACTCTGAAAGTCTAACATTAACTTCTATTTATTGCCCACTTGATACACCATGCACGTACACAACGCACATATTTAGGACGTCGGTCTATGATAATATCAAACGAGTTGGTAGATATGACGTGCGTGTTTATATTTGCTTTTGACAATGACAACAAATGTGGACTCGCTTTACGCTGTCGTTGGATCAACGTAACAGAATAATAATTAATCTATTATTAGATTCCTTCAGATTATTCAATGGGACATTTAAAATGTTTATTCCACAGAATATTAAATAATAAGAATGCTAACAAAGTGACGAGTGAGATAGTTATAGTCTATTTCCGAAAGATGCAGAGAAAAAAAACTCATTAGCTATTCAAAGGCGCTACAGACTAATCCTACGAATGCTTAGGTGCAAATTATAGCAAGATGGCGCGAAAGTAAAACAACGTCTTTATTTGGCTCGTTCGATTAATTTTGTTGAAATACCGGTTCCAAAGTAATAGACAGAAAACGATGATGAAATATCAGCAGCATAATGGTCATTTAGTCCGCCGATACGATGGAAATAAAATGCAATTATCAAAATTTTTAACGACAAAATTTTCCAAGATATAGCCACAAAAGTTATGGAAATGATGGAGAACACTATGAAGGAAAAATGAAGAGAACATAAGTGTGGGATAATGGCTAATATTTAGATTAATCGGCGTGTGGACTCTCAAACTACAAACAATTTTCTTAGACACTCAAGCGAAATTCTTGGTTTGGTCTCTATGAGAAACAAATATATCATCCTTAGTAGCGATTTTATTATGACTTACTTAACGAAGAACACGCACTCTCAAAGATTTAAAAATATTATAGACAGTTTCAATCTAGTTCAAAATATCACTCAAACTGACTAGAATAAACTTGGTAACCAATCGTCTGATTAATGTTATTACATCTAGTCGTGCACTCACCTCAATTAAATCAGACTCTATTCCTGTTTCTCAATCTATTACTGATCATATCCTAGTGTATACTGTTTTCCGACATTCCGGCGTCCCAGTATTAAAAAAAAAGCATATATACCGGGAGTTTTTGAAGGAAGAATTATCATTGCAGTGGGAAAGAATTTATAGAATAACGAACACTGATGGTTAGGTAAAAATTATTGATAATTTTATTTTGGAAATACTGAATAAATATTATATAAAATTATTTTTTGGGTATATTTTCACAAAACAACACGAATACATTCACTAACATGACCGTCAGAATTGACAAACGTCAAAATTCAAACCGTGGGAAATATCTCCTAAAACATCCGATTGCTCCCAAACCCGTGCGGTAAAATCCCGGAAATGTCCGAAGTGGCTCGGATTCGTGGGAAACTGAACTGACGTGGTAAAGTGACGCGTCCCACACGCTAGATCGGTGGTTAATTAGGTATTTTACAGACGGGAGTAGAAAAAAGTATGTACGAACAGGGTCTCCTCATGATCTCATATCCTATAGGCAACTAAGAAATTGTACAAAACATGCAATAACTGGGGAAAAGATAACTTATTTTAATAATCGTGAAAAACGGTCAGGAATTTTTGGGACATTGCTAAGAAGTTAAATATTTATAAAAATGAGAATCGCTTCGAGACGCCAGAACTTATTTTAATAATCGTGAAGAAAGGTCAGGAATTTGGGGACACTGCTAATAAGTTACATATTTCTAACAATGAAAATCGCTTCGAGATTCCAGAAGAATTCCAATGATACTTTTTTAAAACTTCGGGTTTTCGGTTTTTGTTGAGTCGAACTAGCTAACCTTTCGCCAATCAACCTGTTGACTTCTTCAGAGTTTCACTGAAACTGTTTCAGTTTTCAAATTTCAACAAAAGGCGACGCAGGAGGAATCCAGAAGTTTTATAAAAAGTATTACAGTAATCTGCGGAAGTTTCATTGACAAATTAACTCTAATGATGCGAAGAAATCCAGAATTTTTTCCAAGAGACTGACAACTTACCAGATACCACCTCTCGCGATCTATTAAACTTTTACATTAATAATGTGGGAAAAGACAAAATATTGAACTTTCAGGTAATTAATGAAACAGCTCTTGAAAAAGTAATCGCGGGATTAATCCAAACGCAATTGGGGAAGATGGAATCTCGATTCCATCCACAGTATTTCGGAGCAAAAATACCTATATATCTGGAAAAAAGCAATAACTAAACATATTGCCAAGGTGCCAGACCCCAAAGAACTGAACAATTTTCGACATCTAATTATACTCTCACCTATTTCTAAATATTCGAAAAAAAATATTTGTAAGCAAATTACTGAATATTTATAAAACAACAATCTGGGGAACTAGTTTGCATAGTAAATGATATAAGGTACAATGAGGAACAGGGGAATGGTACTTGTATAGCACTGCTTGATTTTAGTAAGGCGTTTGATTCAAAATTTATTATTTGAAAGGCATTTTAACAGGTTAGTTTACGAGTTTAAGTTAGGAAAATTACAACAACGAGCTTTTTGATCAAATTTCCGAGTTCAAATTGATTAAGCAAAGTTTTCCGCAGGGTTCGGTAATTTCACCAATTTGTTTTTTCTTCATATGTGTTTGACATGAATCAGTGCGTGAAACATTCTAAGCTCAAACAATTTGCTGACGATTCTGAAATTCGCTTGCCAATATCCAAAACATTAAAGAAATTCAACAAGAACTTAACGCAGACCTTAACAATTTGGGTGTATGTGCAACAAATTATGACCTACAACTCATCCTCAAAAATCTCGAGTTATTATTATCAACAAAAATAAAATAAACTTATCCGAGAAAACATTAAACAAAACATTTACATTCAGCTTGGAAATAATGTTATTCGAGTTGTAAATATAGCAAAAAATTTGAGTTGGACATTTCACAACTTTCTATACTTTTGATTTTCACATTAAAAAAACTTATGGCTAGTTATATGGCTTGTTATATATACAGATTAAAGTAGTTTTTAAATACAAAACTAAAATATTTTCTCTGCAATACTTTCTTTCACTGTCTGATTATGTAGATGTGGTGTACTGAGATTGCCTTTCCGGGCAAACTAAAAAATCAATTCAAAAACTGCGAAACTCCTGCATATGTTTTGTTTTCAACATACCTTACCGTAGTCATATATCTTCTTTTCTAAATAAATTCAATATTTCAAACATGAGCAATCGAAGGAAACACATAGGTTTGTTTATAGAATTATGAAATCAGGAAAACCGATTTATCTGAATCTATATCTAAATTTACCTTACGTAATACCTTATTGTAGAACATCAGCATTTCAGAGATCATTTACTAGTCAGATAAAAAAATTACTTACAAAACAAAATCTGCTTTCACAATAATTAAATTAAGTTAAAAGTTTTTTTATTGTTGTAATATGTTTGAACTCCCACAGCAGCTTCACCGTCGGTTGGGGTTTTTGGTTGGTTTGGTTGTTTTTTGCCATACAAAATGGAACGTGCTTTTTGAACTGAGAAGTTCGATATGCTACAATGTTGTTATATATTACGCTATAATAACTCCTTGGAAGCTGGGTGTATATATTTAAATAACTAGTCAGATAAAAGGCAAGCAAGAACAAAAACTTTTGGAAAATTCAGAAATAAACACTGCGTCAAGAAAGAGTAAATAATGTATTGCTAGCTGAAACTGAACTGATCTGAAAATAAGGAAACATCCATTACAAAACTAGAACGTGCAACTACAATCGCGAAATCTACTGCTTATTTATTTTAAGAAAAAAAAAATTTCACCCAGTCGAATTTCAAATTTGTTAAGCGCTGAGTGATGAAGAAAGACCCAGCCAATTTTGCGAATGGTATACTAAAAAGTGTGAGAAAGATGAAAACTTTCCCCATAAGATTATTTTGTCAGGCGAAATGCTCATTACTGGACAAGAGGTAATCCCCGATTTTCTAGACATCAACATCTTTTTGAATTTAATATGTGGGTTTGTGATTTTTGGAACACATTTAATAAGCCATTTTTTTATAATGATTCTCTTAACTCTTAACCAACAGCAGTTTTGTGGTTTCCTCGTTCGCTGAATCTTACTCCAGTAGATTTTTTTTTAAATGGGGATATTGCAAAAATTATGTTTACCAGTTAGTTTGTGAGACTGAGGATCAACTCAAAAGACTAGTTCTTGAACCTTTTCAAAATATTACAACTGATATGTTAAGAAATGTTTTGTTGTTTGAATATTCTTTATATATTTTTTTGTAGCAAGTTCTTGTTAAGTAATTTGTTTAATGAATTAACAAGTGACGCGATCTACCTATTTTTCTTTTAGTTTATTTATCATGTCAGCGCCCACTATTCGAAAACTTTGAAAATTCACTAGAAACTATTTTTTTAGATTTAAATAATGTAGAATAACATTGTGTCGTACATCGTTGTATTGAAATATGAAATATGAAAATAAAAGTTGATGATGTTTTTGCCGTATCGAAACGTCGTACTTAAAATTTCTTAGCGGTCTCTTGTAGAGTTCAAAAAGTGGCAACGAGAAAGTGACCTTTATTTTTTAAATATCTTTAAATAACACCAGAAAAAAATTAAAATTAAATCGGCAAATTTAGATTTTTTTGGCGCATCATTGGAAGTGATAGGATTTTTTTTAATTTTTCTTAGCAGCACGTTATTAACCTTTACATTTTGCAACTTTTTTTTTAAATTTAACCATCTTCTGTATCTCTTATGGTTTATAATATCCCCAAGATAGACATTCTTATCTTGGATACACTGTCTAGATATGCAGCTTTAGAACATCTTACGAAGTTGTCCCATGGCTATTTCCATCTTTTCAGACCTTCCCAATCTTCTCGCATTCGTTGGGCGTGCCCATATTAAATTAGTTGCTTTCTGTTGATACGATCAGCTATGGTTCCTTCAGTTCCTTTTTGTTGTTTTATTATTTTATTTCTTATCCTTTCCCTCTGTGCAATTCGTAAAGATATCCTAAAAACACCCATTTTCACAATTTCAGCTCTTTTCATGTACTTATTGGGTGATTCGACAGGTTTCTTCTCCATGAAATAGGGTACGCTTTATCATTGTTTCTTTGTTTTGTTCATTAATATTCCATTAAGGCACGCTATGATTCTTTTTGTTTGAATGAATGTTTTTTCTGTCTCATTAGTGTCTCCTTATTGGTGGGTTGACTTCCTACGACATATACTTTGTTTTGTTTTTGTTGATTGTTAAACCCCATTCTCTATATTTCTCAAAGAGATTTAGCATGTGTTATATGTGCTTAAATATTTTATCAAATCACCAAAATACTCTTCAAAAACAAACAACAAAAGGTTAGAGAACTTTCTCTTAAAAATTCCTTCCCTTCTAATATGAATGATTATTAGTCTCCTCATTTTTCCCAGAATAGCTAGATTTTCTGCTTTGATGCTTTAAAAAAAATATTCTTCGGCCAGTCGGTTGACTGTTCAAAGATCAGATATAGTTTATTATTATTATGGAGAACAAATCACATGATGGATATTTAAAAAAAAAGTGATAATAATGTTTTGATATTAAAGTTATAATTTTTATTTTAAAAGGTTAGACTACAACGTGTTATTAAACAGTTACATGCCTAGTAAAATTAAATACATAAAACCTTTGAAAAACAAAATAATTGAGAAATAATTTTTTCTTTAAAAATGTAATAAGTGTAATATGTTATAATATAGAATAATTAATGTATACCAGTTATTATAATAATCAGGGGGTAAGAGCTGTGAAACGACTTTCTGGCACATAAGGCCTGTGGACCAATTGCTCGAAACAATCCATCAAAACATATCAAAAACACATTTATTTCTCTATATTTCTTTATGTTTCGCACATAGATACAATGGCATTTTAAATAATATTTAAACGAAGCAGTTTCGGTGGCTTGATAAAAATGTTGCTTATACAATGGATATTCTGAAAAATATTAGTACTATGGACTTAACTACGGATGATTAGACAGAGTGCGTCGATAAAAAAAACAAAATCAATTTTTTTGAGAAAGAAGTGACGTACTGTTGAAATGGCATTGAGTTTTTTTTTATTTCATTTTGTTCACTAATTCACATTAAACTAGTTTACTACGAACCCGAAGTAGCTTTCCTAACTTTAAAGAAAAAATTAACTGTTTACGTTTGTTTTTATTACTATAAAATTTAAAATAGACTTGTTAAAAGCTTTGTTAAAATTCGTACATAGCGAAGTTAAGAGTTTCGTTTGTAATATAATAATTTACATTTGAAAGAGAAAGAAACATAGCTTTGATTTAGTTTTGAAAAATTTTAATTTGGTTTGTTTGTAAAAAAGCAATTATAGTTTTTGTCTTTTCATAACTACAATCTTAGAAATAGGCATGTTTAATTTGGCGGTTAAGCCTAATACTGTTTGTTATCCTGACTATTACTTATATTTGGACTTATATGTTCTTGTTACCAAACTGCGATCTCTTAATTGTGATACACCTCCTAACTAAATACTGGGAATAACTGTTTATTATATATTTCAAAAATTTTTGTTAGACATTGTTAGGCAATGCGGGGTATTTTCGTGTATAGTTGAATAGAAAGCAGGCATAATTTTATAGTTGTGCCCTTTAGTGTACTGGGCGATCATTTTTTAATGGGGTATCTTGCTTATGACCAAAGATAGAGGAATACAAGTTTTGCGACACTATGCTACTTTTTCCAAAAATAACAGCAAACAGAATTTTCGTAGCCCCTTTGATTTTTGAGATACGGGATGGTTTTAAATTTTGGATAGCCCTCGTATTTCGGTTATTTAAAAGCTTCAATGGCATATTCACTTTTTTTATATTTTAAATTACTTTCGACAAATAAACCAAATTTATAGCTTTTTTGAAAAGATATCTAGAACATCTCAAAAATATATAAAAGTTTGCTTTTTTTAACTAAGGTTGTTGTTTGTTGGCCATGAGGGATAATAAAAAAAACCTTTATTTAATTTAAAACGGAAAAATATTGTTAATTAATATTTAATCCAAACTAACATTTTTAGACCACCTATAAAATTGAAATAAAATTTAAAAAAAAAACAATGAAAAACATTGAATTGATGGCTAATGAAATTGGATCACAACACACGGATTATGCATCTTATTGCATTTGTAGCTCTCAAATGGCTATTTCAGTGCCATTTCATTTTGTAGGTATCACCACAAAAAGAAATCCAAAATCGATAAATATAGTCATTAACCACTATATAGTGGTCCAACTACGTTAAAGTTTGAAATGCCTCAGGCGGCATTGATATTTTCATAGGTGGTGATTGTAAGGTAATAATTTTCCGCGCATGTCTCTACATTTCAATGAGTGCAGTTTACATTGCGCCATTTTCTTTTTAAACAGCGATTTTCAGGCACTTAATTCGTTTTCCCAGAATATTTAACCCGATGTAGGTTTATTTCGAGAAAATACCGCATCCAAACTTATTGTCGATCCGTCAGCGGCCATGTTGGTTGTTGAAGTAGGTTGTTTCAATCCAGTTTTTTTACATATCTTTTGAACCCGTGCTTTAATAATAATTAATAAGAATCCCCCACTTTACTACAACAACTACCTGGATTTATTCGGATTGAAGCCAAGAGATTAATTTCATTAGTCTCTTTGTATGCTTGCTTACAAAATGATCCATGTTTTTAAATCAACTTGATTTTGATCTTCTCTTATACCATGTGATGATAAATAGTTTTGATTTGAAGAAACTACAATAATGAAAACCAGCTTCATGCGCATTTTCGTTAAACTGAATATAACAAACTTGAATGTCCTATTGTTTATCAATTTTCAAATTTAATATTGACTGCCTTAGTTGGTTTTGACCCTTTAAGTAAAATTTGGCACACAAATTCTGACAGTATTCTGACAAAAACTCAAACATTTCTGAATATGACTTTTTTTGCGACATTTCTTTATTTTTCTATTACACTAATATAACAAATTCTCTCTACCATGTAAATAAGTAAATAGTCTAGATAGTAGTAGTAGAAGGGGAAAATTAAGTCATATTTGTCTTGAATACATTTGGTCAATGTTCTACCATTGTAATCATGCCCATGGTTAGCCATCAAGACAGTTTCCTCAAAGTGGACTTTATAAATCATGAGGTACTGGTTACACAGAATGCAACTTCATTCGAAAACAGAAAAACCTAATGCAAATTCTTCGAAGTTGGTCAAAATTTCCTATAAAATTGACATGACGATTGAGGATTTTTGTTACACTTTATATCGGACTGTCCCGGTTTCAAGCGGTAAGCTGTATACTAGCGCCACCTATTTGAATTATCACTAAACATAATTCAAAGCAATTGGGATACTCTACAGTTACATTAGATTTTGAATTATTATTTTGTAAATTAATTCAATTTGTTCAGTCTCCGATACAGTACTAAGCCTTGGAATATAGAATTCATTATACAACCTGTCCGTAATATAATTAAGAATTCTGTTCTGAAGCACTTGAACAGTGTTAAAGTTAGTATTTTCTGCTCCTTTCTGTAAAATATCTAATTATACACCGATCTAGCGCGCGTCACTTTACCATGTGAGTTTCTTGTCCCACGGATCCGAACCACTTGGGACATTTCCGGGATATTACCGCACGGGTTTGGGAGCAATCGGATGTTTTCGGAGATTTTTTCGCATTTGTCAATTCTGACGTTCATGTCAGTGAATGTATTCCTGTTGCTAGAAAAAGTATAGTATGCAATACGTTTGGTAAACTTTTTAAGTCGGATGCCGTTTACCACACTCGTTGTATAATATGCAAATATTTCAATTGTGAGAGGAAAAAGGCATTATATTTTTTTATTATTTATGTATTTTTTTTTGTAATTTATGCATCTGCGTATTATTGGAGTCATTGATAATTTTTTTCCTAATATATTGAATATGCTCGAACCAGTTTAATTTATTATCAGTTAGCAGACCTACGTACTTTATCCGCTTAACCTCGTCGATTTTTTGATTACTTATTCGTATGTTAAAAGTTTGTATCTGCTTATTTTTTGTTTAAATATTTGAAATTTGGTTTTGTCTGGATTTATTTTTACCTTGTTATAATATAGCCAAATTAGGTTTAGATTAAGGTCACTACTAACATTATTATTTAATGTTTTTTGCTCCCCGCCTGTGGAAAATAACTCAGTATCATCAGTAAAAGCGAAATATTGTGCTCCAAGCCAAGCATTTTTCAAATTCATCACGTAAAGTGAGAACAGTAATGGCCCCAGCAGAGAGTCCAAAGGCAGCCTGCACTCACTCAATTCCATTTCATTATTTACATCGTCTAACTTGACCTATTGCTTTCAGTATATCAGTATGGGCTTTCACCCCTTTTTTTATTCTAAGGTATGTATTTTTTCAAGATTTTATCATACTATTTACTTTATTTTTTATGGCCTTATAATTAATTCCATTTGAGGATTTTGAGGATTCGTTTCTTAAATTTTATGTAATTTTATATAATTTTTATAATTTAATATAATATAAGTAAGTCAGCGTTGATCCATTATTCTTTTTTACATATGTCAATAATATAATAATAATGTTTTTCTTGGCTAAATATTTAATTTATTACTTTTATTTTATGTCGTTCTTTAGGTTTATATATTATAATTTTTTCGTCTATTGAAAATTTGATAAATCTGTGATTTAAAAATGAAATGTATGAAACTTTTACGAGATATCCCGTAACACCATCCACAAATGGACACTCTGTAAAGAAAATGGCGATGTACTTATCCCTCATAATAATTCCTATTCTTTAGAATTCATTCTGATTCAAGACAAAATAGTAAAGTCTGTTCATAGATATAAGAAAGCGACTAACTGATACGAATTAAGGATAGACCCGGGGAAGCTGTAAGAATGAAATATGGCCGAACAGGTCCGTACTTTGCTTACAATTTAATTATTTGGGGTTTTGTTAGGAAATATACTAAACACTATTTATTTATTTATGCATGCATTTATGTTTAAATCTAAAATAGCAGATTTCAGTTGGTGCCAAACGTGTTCAATGGGATTAAACATAGACTGGTGAGGTGGAAGCCTTAAAACTGTATGCCCTAGATTTTTTGCATAATTATCATAGACGTATTCCTTTTGTAGGTTCAAGTTTTGTAGAACCTCAATTAATTGCTTTGTGTCACATGAGGAAGGGGTTTTAGTCAACTGTCTACTGTGATATTAGGAGGAATGTTTGGAACTAGTTTGTTTTTAAACTAACTTTCAAATAAATCAGCGGTGGTGTCCAGAGAAGAATCTCTAATATTTTTCGCAGACAGAGAAAGTCCATTTGGAATCCAGCCAGCATGCAAAATAGTTATTCTTTTACCTCTTTTTGATGGCGCGTTTGTTTTACACTTATTAATTGAGTCAGCCCAACCCTTTTTCGGGGTATCATAATTGTCGAACCAGGTTTCATCCAAGTAAATAATTGGATTTTGTTTTTCTAGAAATTCCAGTCGTCATTTCCGAATTCTAAAAGATTCCATTAAAAGTTGCCTTTTGTCAATTTTTTTAAATCTAAAACGCATGTGTTGAATACATTTCCATAAGGTAGTTCTGCCACATTTAACACCGGTTTCATCTTTTTCATGCCTCCTAATTAAGATATCTAATGTAGGCACCCTTTGTTCCTCGTATAACTGGTAACTTTTCATCACTTTCACCTACACTGGAGAAAATGTCAGAATCGCTTCTTTTTTTCCTCGTTGAAGTGAGATGATTCACAATTTTCCATACAGTTGATGTTGGAATTTTCGTCAATGTGGCCGTTTCTTCTAAAGATGTTTGCTTGCTGGCGCCACGTTCAATGAGAGTCAAATAAATATTGTTTATAACTTCCTTAGTCTCAATAGAATAGTGTTTTCTACATTTGGGTGGGAACATCTCCTGAGAGAACTAGACTCGCACATATTTTGCATAATTCGCACACGATTCAACACACGCTGTATTACACACGAAATAAGAATGATTACTAATAAACTTAAACTAAGTAGTATACCAAACCAAAGAATATTAAACACAGGTAGGTATAAAAAGATTTTCTATTACGGACCACAATTTTACCTGAATTTAAATTCCGAAACTTTAGGTAATAATCTTGTTGCATTGTATGTTAATGACCACCCTTGGATAATCCCATTCAAAAGCAATTGGCCACTTTCTTATATCTATGAACAGACCATACCAGTATATATATTAAAGATATTATTTCAGTTTTCGCAAACCGAAGATTTCATTCTTGCCAATTTTGGAAATAAAACCCATCGATATGGCGGGTATCAGGTAAGAAACTTTAAATTTACCTCTCTTATTTACTTACTTACTTACTGCCAGTACCGGACGCTTCTTCATTTAAATAGGACCATTTGAGAAGTTTACAAATTTTTCTGAAAGGTTGCACATGGCGTTTTGTCCAATTCAAATGTCGTAAGCCTGAAAAATGTCATATAGTATCGTTAAAATTTTGGTGAATAGCTTTTGTGTTAGCAGCATGAAGCATATGGTACCTTTATTGATAACATTGCTGCAAACCTCTAAAATTTTTTAAGAACATAAGCCTCCATGTTCTTAAAGAAATCGCAAAAAAAGACATATGGAGATATAGGATGTCCTAATAGTGCGCCGGCGATATCTTCGAAACGAATTGCGATAAGAAAACTAAATTAGAAAGGTACATAGGTGCACGAGGTGGATAACCTAAAATTATTTTCAAATAGGATATACTCTAAATGCCTAAGAAGGATACATAATATTGTTTCTTCTGAAATTGCACTTAAATTTCTTCACCTGGATTTCGGCCATTCATTTTAAACTCAATTGCTATAACGTCCGCTGTAGCTGCAACTTTTGCTGCATTGAAATTTGGTAGTTAGGTTATTACGAGTTTGAAGGGAGCAAATTTGAAATAAATGGAGCTAGGTAGATAGGTAGATTTTCTGTTTGTAGGTTGATCAGTAATCTAAGGGTCGCCTTTAGGACATTCTTAGTGAATCATCCGATCGTAGGAAATGCGATCGTGTACGGAACATTATGCGTGGGAGCCGAAACATCCCAACAATCTCTCAACAAGAAGATACTGGTATGCCATCAGACCATCTTTTATATTTTTTGAACGTGATTTTGTAATTTGCATTTGTATATTTTGATGTTTTTTGCTCTTTGCCCTTGTAATATAAAAGTCAAATGTTATTTTGAGTTCAAAAATATATTTCTTTTGGTTTCCTGACTAACAATCTGTGTGAATTGTTAATGAAAACTACAGTAATTTTTGGAATATATTTCCAGAAAGACATGGCGACAAAGAAAATCAAGTTGAACTTATATACCAAATACTGATCAACACATCATATACAGTGTGTCACGCTTCAGAAATGTACTCCCTTGTAAATTCTTCGTTTATTGTTCGATTTTGATAATTTTTTTTGGAGAGATACCTCAGAAATGCACTAAAACCTAATTTTGCTTATTGCTTAAAACTAAAGTACATCTCTAACTTTTACAAAAGACAGGGTTTTTTTAAAGGATAAATTGGCAACGAATTCCTATTCATAAGAACTTAGAATCTTACAATAACAACTTCTATCATGTTTTAATACATGGTGTTTCAAATATCGTTTGGTTTGATATTGATATTTTCTTTTTTTGGATAGAAAATAGAGCACTAAAACCTTATGTCTCGCAGGTATTTAAAACCTGGCAAAGTACTCCACATTTTTAATAACATTCTGTATCTGTAAGTCTGTGTTGTCATGTCATGTATCTTCAGCGGATCAACATTCACCATGAAGCGGTAAGTATTTTTTTTCAAAATTCTAGGTTAAATGATATCACCGAAACCACAACACATACATCATGGACCACGCTCTCTATGCGTTCCTTTCAATTTTGCCGGGTATTTGCTTTATACCTGTGAACACAATTTTTTGTTTTTCCACGGGAATTTATTGTCATTAAAGTATTTATATAGTATAGAGAATAATAGCGGTCCAAGAATAATGCTCTGCGGTATACCGCAGGTAACATTTCTGCACTGAGTTCTGTTACCGAGCTAGTTTTTTATTAGATTGTAAATACATCTCAAAAACTCATCACATCTCATTTTACTAGAGTGAGAGATGCTATCAAACCCCTTGAAGAGATCCAAAAATGTCGATATACTAATCTGTTTCGAATATAATGATAACCTAAATTTGCCCTGAAAGATTACAAATTGCGTCCTGAGTGGATATTTTCTCCCTAAACCTACACAGAAAGTTCACAATTCGTATTTTTATTGTCTTTGAATAATTTTTGAAATTACTGATAACTTTGAATATGGGCTTCATTATACCAGTTTTGATATTGGTGATGTTTGGTCAGTCACCTGCTTCACAGTTTCAATTCACAACTAAGAGATATTTTCTATATAATTTGATGGAAGGATTATACTATCTGCAAATTTCCTGTCAATACTACTATAACGAAAATTAAACTGTTTGAAATTTGGATAGTATTAATTTGGATTTTATTATCATCTGTCTCTATTTTATTTATCTTAACCCTGTCCCTGTTAGAATCTTAGAGTCTAGCTTAGCGGCTTTTATTAAAGATATAACTCTGTATATGGACCTTTTAGCTAGACATTGGATCTATCTGTTTGAAATATGAATACTATCAATTTGGATTTTATTATCATCTGTCTCTATTTTATTTATCTTAACCCTGCGCCCCTGCGCAGAAGAATTACTATTTTTTGTTAGAATCTTATACAGATATAGTCTTGCTTAGCGGCTTTTATTAAAGATCTAACTCTGTTTATATGGAAACTATATGAGCGTTTTAGCTAGACATTGCTTGGATCTACCTGCAATCGCATACAGATTATTTTTCTCATTAATAAGGCTCAATAACCTGTAGGACTAAAATGTTTTGATTTAATTCTGTGTAGCTATAGTCCACATTAAATGGTTTCCTATTTTTCCTTGTCTAAATCTAGTTTTAAGTAATTGTAATCCGTATAAGTCTTTGAATCATTATTTTTGTTTTGTGTTACACTTTTTTTTATTAGAAAGACAGCCACGATAGGAAAATGATCCGTTGTATCGTTTTCAAAAATATATGATTTTGCATTTATTTCTATTTTAGTTTTAGGAAAAATATGTACCACTTGCAAGTCGAGTTACTAAATTGATAAATGAAGAAAAAATATATGTTTTTAAAATATTTTCATATTTCTAGACATAATCTACGTTAGACAACAAATTGACATTTGTGTTATCCTCGATAATGTGGCAAACAAATTTTCTTCGTTTATCAAGGCCATCAACGATTGGTTAAGGTTTTTAATGTCTAATTATGGGAATTTATATACTGCTGTCAAATGCATTTCTCGATAATCCACTTTTACATTTAGTTCTAAAATTCGCGTTTCACCAAAGGGACTACGTTGTAAGTGTAGTACAAAATATACTTGATATATTTCACAACACCATCGTTTTTATTAAATTTTCCTTCGTTGAAGAGGATGTTATAAAATTTGTTCTTAAGTCATTTAAGTACAGACATGGTTCGTCGAAGCGCTTTGCCAAGCTTCTTATATTAAGGTGGATAAATATCATGTTTTGAAAATGTTTTATATAAAAATGTGTGTTTTTATTCGTTTCTCCTTGTTCTGTCTTTTTGGCGGTACTTTTCTTTTTTCGATAATGTCGTCTTCATAGGAATCTTTTCCCACATGTAAATCGTCAGGATTCGCCCCTTTCTTCGATTGGCCAGTTTTTCTTTGCGAATTAATTCTTTTATTCATTTTCGGTTCAGTACATCCCACATCAAGTATATTTCATTATTTTTGTGTAGTTTCTTTAAGCATTTAACATATTGTTAAATCGTGCGATATTGTTATGTTAGTGCCTTAAGAGGATTTTAGGAGTTTTGTCTTACACCAATTTGACACAAATTCTATTTTTAAAAAATCAACTCTCACTCGATTCAATTGCAGATCTAGTTCAGTTTTGCGTTTTACTATTTCTTCCAATACGGTAGGATTGACTTCCGGCATTCTCATGTATGGCCCGCTTTACGAATGCCGCCGTGTTTTGCCGCATTAATCTGATAATCAGGCATATAGAATTCTTTTAAATTGTTGGTTACAATTAATAAACAGCTGTCACAAATATACACAGAAATTGTTCATTTTGCTCATATATTCCAAATTGTAAATAGATGTAAACTTGATGTTGCTCTTTGACTGTATCACAGATTTGTTGGCCTGCAAGATGTAACATCGCAATTATGTTGCTCCTCCAAGTCAAATGATTATTGAGTATTATGAGCGCAAGTGTACAATAGATATTTTCAAATACTGCATCTGGAGACAGTTGAAAAAAGTGAAAAAAAAAACAAATCCCTGCATAATCTGCAATTTTGTGGCAGCGAAAGAAAAATGGAGTTTTGTCGAAGGTTTATTTTAATTTTTTCATTTTAAACTCAAGCCAAACGAATTTCATGATTCATTGTCTGGACGGTTAAAAGAATTAACTAGTATCTACTTTCGAATACTGTAGATTTATTAATGCCATTATTTTAAGATGATACAAAAAATAAATGTCCCTCAACAAATGTTTTCAGTCTGTTATATTATTTTTTAAATTTGTATAATTATACTTTGTTTGTAAGGTCTTAAAATCACACTCAAATCGTTTTTTACAAGATAAATATCTATTTTCGTGAAACATTAATAACTTTGGTCATGGTTACTGTTAACTGGTATTTCTTGATTTTCCGAAACTTACCAAAACTAACCAAAAACTGTGTCAGTTGGCCATGACTTTAGTCGAGGTTATATGAAAAGGCCGTTTCAGTGCCTTTTACTAGGATCCATCCAAAAAAAAGAATTATCAAAATTGGGCAATAAACAAACATTCTACTAGTCGCGCTTAGGTTTAAGTGCACTTCTGAAACATCTATGCAACAAGAAAAAGATTTTACAGTTGTATATAGGGTTTACAGTTTTTAAGTAGGACACACCGTATGTATAATATTTGCCTGAAATTCCAAACCAACCAACCAAAATTAATAAAACTGATTTTATATCATATGGTTCTTAGACCTTATATTTAAGAAAACTGTTGTTAGGGGAAAACGCTAATTATTTAAATAATTTGAATAAGATTTATTTTTTCATAGAACGATACATCGGAACCGCTCGATAGACATACCATCGGTAGGTATGCAATATATGGGACCACGATTGCTGGACCGTTGTTAGCTACATGGTAAGTACGAAAGTGATATAGGGTGAATCTTATGATTATTTCTTATATAAATGACCGGTTATTCCTCTTTTATTTTAAATTATGTTCCTCGATGCATTCAATCTTGATTTTCAAATTCAAAATTCCAATAATATATGGGATGCGCTATAACGAACAATTAAACAATTAGTCGCAATGACTGTTGATATTATTTGAAACAAGCTGCGTTTTTTCATATATTCTTCTGAAATCCATTTACAACTGAACGCTATAAAAAAAGTTTTTGTCAAAGAATCCACTTATTTTATCAGATAAATCCATTTAATGGTAGGTTCCATCTGTGATCACTGAAAGTTATTTATGTAAAATCAACAAAAATTTTCCCCTTCCATATTTTTATTTTTTTATATTTGCAATTAAACAATATAAATAAATAAATAAATATATTTTTTGAAATTTCTCAGGTATTATTTAAGCAAAATACACGTTTATTGCTTTTAGAGAATTGTATGTTTCTTACGAATATATAATTTGTTTGATTTAATGTAATAATATGTTAATTTTAACTTATTAGTTGATTTAGTATTCGAAATATTTGTAATGAATACTGTATAATTTGATGTAAATAACTGATATTATATGGATGAAACACATTGAATCTACTTTCGTTCTTTGTTATATGTTTAAAAATTTAAATATATGGACTAAAGAAAACTTTCTCTATGCCTCCTCTATGGTTGATTTGTTGCAATTTTTTTCTATTATTCAATTAATCGTTTTTTTTTTCTCTTTTTTTTGTACATCTGCAAATAAATGAATAAATTTAGTACAACTACAATGAAATAACTTACTTTTGCAGGTACCGTTTCCTGGACAAACAGTTACCTGGAAAAACCACTAAAATTGTATTGAAGAAAATGGTATTCGACCAATTTACATTCACGCCATTACTTCTAGTTGTCTTCTACGTTTGTGAGTATCAATATTTGTATAGCAGGTTCTTATAATTTAACAAAAGGAAGCACCTATTGTAACTAACGTGCGTAAAGAATTATTCCGCTTATTAAAGAGAACAATATTGAAAAATGAGCATCGAAATAAGTTCATTTTTAATAATAATAATACAATTTTTTTCTAATCCCTTCTGTAAAATACCTAATTAGTCACCGATCTAGTGTGCTACATCAATTTTGACGTTTGTTAATTCTGATCGTCATGTCGAAAAAATGTATCCAAAAACTAATAGTCGTAAAAAAAGAATAGTATGCAACACTTTTGGTAAACTTTTTAAATCACTCGTTTATTATGACTTAAATGTCGTTTACCATACTTGTCGCATAGTATACTATTCTGATTCTATTTTTAAAAAACACGCACACGCAATGTTTAATAAATAATTTAGACCTAAGTTTGCAACGTGTGATAAAATCTTTTGTGACACGTCAGTGAACTGAAAATTTTACGCTCTTTACAAAAATCGATAAATCCATTTTGGCGGCCATAAGAAAAAATGAATGTTAGGGAATCTTGGACATATTAGCTATATGGGTGTACTGCTCTTTTCTAAAGTAATTATTAATTCTTATACCAATTTTTATTCAAAAGTTATTCAAATATGCCTCAAAACACTATTCGTTTCTAAATTCGACCGAAATCATCCGATTGCTTTCAAACCAGTGACTAAAGCGACAGAAGTGGGTCGTCACGGTTAACGAAGCTGACGTCTTAACTTAATGTGACACTTTCCGCACCTTAATTCGATATTTTGGTTATATTGGATATTTTAGAGTAGGGAGTTAAATTATTTATTGAGTGCTCTTAAAAATTAGTCGGCATAATTAATTTATTAATATATTTTCAGCAATGAGTATCATGGAACGGAAACAAGACGTGTTTGAAGAGTGTAAACTTTTTAAATCACTCGTTTATTATGACTTAAATGTCGTTTACCATACTTGTCGCATAGTATACTATTCTGATTCTATTTTTAAAAAACACGCACACGCAATGTTTAATAAATAATTTAGACCTAAGTTTGCAACGTGTGATAAAATCTTTTGTGACACATCAGTGAACTGAAAATTTTACGCTCTTTACAAAAATCGATAAATCCATTTTGGCGGCCATAAGAAAAAATGAATGTTAGGGAATCTTGGACATATAGCTATATGGGTGTACTGCTCTTTTCTAAAGTAATTATTAATTCTTATACCAATTTTTATTCAAAAGTTATTCAAATATGCCTCAAAACACTATTCGTTTCTAAATTCGACCGAAATCATCCGATTGCTTTCAAACCAGTGACTAAAGCGACAGAAGTGGGTCGTCACGGTTAACGAAGCTGACGTCTTAACTTAATGTGACACTTTCCGCACCTTAATTCGATATTTTGGTTATATTGGATATTTTAGAGTAGGGAGTTAAATTATTTATTGAGTGCTCTTAAAAATTAGTCGGCATAATTAATTTATTAATATATTTTCAGCAATGAGTATCATGGAACGGAAACAAGACGTGTTTGAAGAGTGTAAACTTTTTAAATCACTCGTTTATTATGACTTAAATGTCGTTTACCACACTTGTCGCATAGTATACTATTCTGATTCTATTTTTAAAAAACACGCACACGCAATGTTTAATAAATAATTTAGACCTAAGTTTGCAACGTGTGATAAAATCTTTTGTGACACATCAGTGAACTGAAAATTTTACGCTCTTTACAAAAATCGATAAATCCATTTTGGCGGCCATAAGAAAAAATGAATGTTAGGGAATCTTGGACATATAGCTATATGGGTGTACTGCTCTTTTCTAAAGTAATTATTAATTCTTATACCAATTTTTATTCAAAAGTTATTCAAATATGCCTCAAAACACTATTCGTTTCTAAATTCGACCGAAATCATCCGATTGCTTTCAAACCAGTGACTAAAGCGACAGAAGTGGGTCGTCACGGTTAACGAAGCTGACGTCTTAACTTAATGTGACACTTTCCGCACCTTAATTCGATATTTTGGTTATATTGGATATTTTAGAGTAGGGAGTTAAATTATTTATTGAGTGCTCGTAAAAATTAGTCGGCATAATTAATTTATTAATATATTTTCAGCAATGAGTATCATGGAACGGAAACAAGACGTGTTTGAAGAGTGTAGAATGAAATTCCTACAAACTTTCGGGGCGAATTGCTTGTTTTGGATACCTGCGCAGGCTGTAAATTTCTCATTAGTGCCACCAGTATACAGGGTAACCTATATAGGTACATGTTCCTTTGCGTGGATCAACGTATTATGTTGGTTTAAAAGGCAGTAAAGGAAAAACGATAACTAAGTAATCAGAAAATAAATGTATATTTTATTATTCACATAGTATTAATGGTGAGGCCAACCCGAATCAGTATCAAGTGTCGTGAGAGCTCATGCTGTTTTCGCTACCTCATAATGTTAATATGTTAATATGTTAATATGTTAATATGTCATAGTGTTAATAACAATAGTAACATGAAATACAAAAAAAAAAACATGGATCAATTTCCGAAAGTACGATAAGTATGTCATCCAAGCAACAGGGAAAACTTCACGTTCGCTAAAACCAAATCTGAAGTCCTTTGGAAGGCCGCGGTGGTCCGGCCTCGAGATGCAGAAATCTGTAGTGCTTGTAACATAATCAGAAGGGTCCTTAATCAACCACAATCACAATAGCAATTCTTTTTCATGTTCTTGCTACTCATTTAGTCGATATGAAGAAAGGCCTATCTAACGACGACCAGCAATGCAGTTCAAATTAGAGTAATTTTTAATTAATACATGGCCAACATAAGGCCTTTTTTAAACAAAAAAATTGAGACATCTAGAAGAACCAGATACTGTTTTACCTATTTTACTTAGTAGTAGTAGAAGGAAATGGTGACGATGAACGAAATTAAGGTATGTAAAACACCTCTGATCTATAACTGATTATTGACATCCAAGCGGATATCTTTTGCTTAAATGAGTTTATTGCAATCGCAATGTCACACAAAAAGAACCTTTTGATTTTTTTTTTGATATCGTGGCACTCTGAATTTATAGTTTTGTCATATTTTCGGGTTCACATTCAATTCTTAGCTTTAAAGACATGTTGCTTTCCAATGCAATATGTTTCACTTATTCTGTCGTTTCCATTTTTGTACAGAATTTTCTATTAGACAAAACTTAGGGTTAGGTAATCTTGAAATAGGTTCCAATTTCTACTAATAGAGAATAAATTGCTATAAGTAAAAACACGTAACCCATACAAAATAAATACTTCAATACTCAAAAAACTCTTTGGTTTTGCATCTACTCATACATTATAAGGATTATTATTAATTCTCTCTGTACTCGTTTCCTCAGTTATGACGGTGATGTCCCCTTTAGAATACCGCCCTTTTCTATTGTCTCATTCCATATTTCTCGATCCGGTGAACCGATACGGGAAGAGGTTGGTCAGATCATCTCATAGGCGATATACCTGTACATTTCTTTCCCTTCTCCCACTCTCCCACCACTCTAAAACCTGTCTATTTTGTCATCTCGTCTTCGAGATAGGTTTCAAGGAAACGTTCTTTACTTCTAAGTGTCCACGATTCTGAGCCGTATAAGAAGATTTGGAAACACCAGCGTTCGGACCAGATTAATTTTAGTCATTTTGGCTATGTATGAGCTTTTTCATATTTTGGTAAGTCTGAGCAGCGCATGCTTGGTCAAGACTATTCTTCTTTTAACTTCCTCTGCACATCCCCTTATTATTGACTCCAGATATAAAATGCTCAAACCCTCTCGCGATCGCCAAGGAAATGAGTCCTGTTTAAGACATTAGGCTTATCTACGATCATTACTTTTGTTGATGTTCACATTGTAAGTGCACTGTTAATGATAACTCTCGAAAATATCGTGCTCTGTATGCATTTCTTTCATAAAGGTTGCTCTGTTCTTACTAACAGAAAGTTTAATAAGCAAGCAGCAATGTGGCAAAGTCAACCAATAGTGCGAGTGGCAATGATAATTGTATTTCAAATGACAGCCGTTCGCAGCCCGGGTGGATCGAGAAGACTTCCTGATGTTATAGACCGAAATATCGTAAACGATAAGAGCAATGTTTTATTAAATGATATTAATGATTCACATTGAATTCTAATACGGGGTATTGCTTGGAAAATATGAAGACCAAATTTAAATTAATACAGAGCTGCGTGCTGAAAATTTAGACTTTAAGCTGTCTGTCATATTTCGGAATGCTAGTGAGTTTACAAGTGAACAAGCACTTAAGGCACTCTACTTGAGTTCCGTTAGACCTAGGTTGAAGTATGGGGTTTAAAGGGAATTTTTAAAATTTCTAGTATATTTCTGCAGAGATGTTTTGATCGCAATGTTCTCTTAAAGCGATTCCACATACCGGCTTTCATTAATCGTAGGAACTACGCATCAGTTTTATTTAAATTATGTAGACTTGTTATAGTCTGCTCTGAATTGATATCGCAGATCGCTTTTCACTTTTCTTCGCAGCCAGTCAGAACATTTCTAATATTCCACCTACCAATTCCCTCTGCAAACTTTTTGGTTGGTGTATAACAACATGATAAGGTATAGACCTTATACTAGAGTTTTCATCCACAGTTTGGAATCCTATTTAGAGTAAATATATCATCAGAATTGAAAGCATAGAAAAAAACTTTAACAACTGAAATAAAGTCGTGGATTCTTTTTTTTTTATAAATTACTTGAACTTTAGCGTTAATTCATATCAGGTGCGACCGAGAATGGCGTTTTCCATTGAGCGATTTAGATAGAATCTAACTCTCCTGTAATAAGATATGTAATAATTTTGTTCTTCAAAACGGCATAGATATCGATATGTTTAATTTAAGCCTTAGTTTATTTAAAACGAAAGTATAAAAACAATTTTAACTTGTAGTTATAATTTATTTAAATCTAAGCTTTGCTTTTCTTGTAGAGATAAGAAATTTATTGCTCACTTTTCTGATTTTGTTAACTAAAATAGTATAGTATATATTGTGGCATTCTGTAATTGGGTAGCTGCGTCTGCCTGTTGAATGGCCTGTGAAATATAAATCAATAAATGAATAAATAAATAACCGAAAGTTAACTATTAATAAGGTTGGAGTAAAGACTATATATCTGGAGCGATGGATGGATATTAACATGCCATTCATAGGCTCTCTCAAGCCATTAACACCGCGTAGATTTGGCGGTACTGTGGAATATGTTTTGTTATTCATTCACACACGAGAGCCATTAGGATCTGTTATCAAATTCAAATGCTAGAATATGGAACAAAATAATCGATTTCGAATTCTGTGTCAAGTTTGACTTGTGTGACATGTAACATACCCAATATTTATCTCCTACGTTTTACCTACTTAATTGATACTTTCGCAAGTGCGTGAATATTTAATTATGGTATTTACCGGACAGAGGATTAGTAGAAGGGGTTCAACAGAATAGACTGCAAGATCTCCAGATATTACTCCACTGGATATTTTTTCTCTAGTAATATTTAAAATCAAAAGTGTATGAAGAAAAACCATAAAATTTAGATGACTTAAAATTTAGAATTAGATAGGAAATAAGGCAAATTAATGAACATATCCTCAGCAGTGTTTTCCAAAAGCTTTTAAACCGATTTGAATATTGTCCAGCAGTTAATTTCTTATTCTGGGATATGCCATGTTTCTATAAATTTTCAATTTTACTTTTTTACAATTTTCTCTATATTTTGCATTAAACAAATTAAAAAAATTTTGAGTTCTCGGTTGGCCTCCATATCGACTAAAAATTAAAATTTCAATTATCTGAGTTTTATTTAGATGAGCCATATTCACTTTCTTTAGTAACAATTGTAGCAATTTAAGAAACTTCCTGGTACTAACTACTTACCTGTTCATTTGAAAATTTGACGCAGAATTCGAAAATGGATTTAAAAAAATGTTCTATTCAAAAATAAATTGCTATTTGCAATGCTATTGGTACTAAGTATAGGGAAACCTTAAGCATCCTACCATGAAATTGGACATTACACACATGGACATTACTTTTTGACGAACCCTGTATATGTTCTATTGATTGCAAATAAAGGCGCCAAAAAAATGATGGGCATATTTATTGAAATCCAATTACGGATTTTTACACGAATTTGTTCCATATTTTAGCCATTTACTTACATAGGCTAAGCGCTAAGCATAAAGTAGAAACGATGCTCTAAGGGGCCTGGTACTTGATGGATCAATTTAAATGTGCAAGCAAAATCGGGGTATGCCATACAATTATTTACAGAAGTGCCAACAAAATGGTCCCTGAGAGCCGATTGTTTGCAAAGTTTTTAAAACGACTTCTAAAAAAATACATTTATTTTGACTAGAACGTTACATAAGGTCGTTTGGCATATTTATCGTATATAGCAGACCATTTCAGGTACGACGTTTTTGGATTGGTTTTTGCTTTTAATTCTTCTCCGATGTCCAAATACTGATAATTATCGTACCTCACTCTGGGCCATGTGACATTTTCTAGTAGTTCAGATATTTCAGGCGTCGGATTCCTAAAATCATACGATAATGGAAAACGGTTTTTTTTTGTTGTAATGGGTCTATAATGTGTGTTAAAAGCAATAAAACTATCGGTGTTGACTCTATTGTATAGAGAAGAGTTTGCCAATAAAGGCGATAAATACAGTGTAGATGTAGATCTAGTACAGATTTATATTGATATAAAAGTTTTATATTAAATTTATCTCTAGGTACTTGGCATCTATTTATCACATGTTATAATGTATATAGGTTATTAATTATAATGGGTTTACGAATATGTTATAGGTTATAGCACCAACAATAGAAGGTAATGACAAAGAAAGATAATGTAAACACTGCAAGAAAAAAATCAGTGCTGCTGTAAACTGTGAGTTCAGTGAGGATAAGAAGAAAAAGAACCAGGAAAGGCAAAAAAAATGAAAAAAAAAAAATAAAAAGCTAGAGAATGAAACTGGCACTGACAATAATAATAAGGACAACAACAATAATAATAATAATAATAATGATAATAATAATAATAATAATAATAATAATAAGTTCTCTATTGCATAGCCAGTACAAAAAAAAAGAAAAAGGCAAATCTAGCTAAAATATTTTAAATATTCATTTACTTTTTTATTAAATACATGTCAACTGGGTGCATTTTAAATCTTCCCAGGGAGAGCACTAAACATATGAACACATTGCAGACCAGATCGCTTTATAAGAAGTTTATTGAAATATGCTGGCAACTGTCCACGTTCTATTTTCTAAAGATAAATGCTTTTTTCCAAAAAAAAACCTCTACAGGCTACTGTAATACTTTTGTAAAAACTTCTGGATTAGTCCTGCGTCGGTTTTTGTTGAATCGAACTTCCTAACGTTTCATCAGCAATCTTTTCAATCATCCTGTTGGCTTCTTCAGTGCTTGACTGAAACTGAGCGAACTGAGAGGCCTCTCTTTCTATAGACTCTCGCATTTTTCGTTGGTAGAAGAATTGATAACCTTCAAGAATTTTAGTTTTATCGAATAAAATTTTATGTCCGATTTCCTGATTGTGTTCGGCAACTGCTGATGAGTTTATTTATCTTAGTCTTAAGGCTCTTTCATGATCTTTGAGCCTAGTTGATCTTTTTTGTCCGGTCTCTCCAATGTATTCTTTGTCACACATGCATGGAATGCTGCAAACTCTTTGACGGATTGAAGATGTTGAGCGATTTTTTGAAAAGTGGTAAAACTGGTTTTGACGTTATATTTCTTTAGAACTTTTGATATGTCGTCAGTGATGTTTTGAATGTAAGGAAGAAGAGCAGTGGCAAGTGCGGGGTTGCTTTCCCACTCATTGTCTGTTGTGGTGAAGTGTATTGTGTGATGGAATACTTAATATCTTTAATGAGGAAATTATTAGAGAGAAGAGCAGAGGTAAGGTGTTTTAATTCTGGGTTCAGTGAAGAATATCTAAAAATGGAAGGTTGTTATTAGTTTCTAATTCAATGATAAAACGTATGTTAGGGTGTACAGACTTTAAATGCCTAAGAAAATCTACAAGGGATTCTTGAATAACAAAAGAATCATGACGTAGGAAGCTGCTAAAGAGAAAAAAAATCAATTAATTAATGCTGAAATGTTGTTGAAAGTTTGTCTACTTCTCGTAATGAACGCAAGTGTCTCAAGTGCTTTTTAAACAGCATTATTTATGCAATCTGAAAAATGGAGACATGCATCCAAGGAGACTCCAAGACCTTTGATAAGGCAAACTTGGTCAAGGAAGTGCGGATCAATTTTGCAATTAAATTTAACAGGAATTTTGAAATTTCTGAAATGTCTCTTACACCAGTCAAGAAGATTATTGCAGTTTGTTACAATCAATAGGAGATCCAATTGGGATGGGGTCATCGGCAAATAGCAGCAGAAGGTATTTGTTAAAATCTTCGTGAATGTCATTCACAAAGACATTAAAATGGAGGGAAAAAAAGATGTGAATTGAAGGTTCGTCAATCAAATCCTCTTGAATACCTTGGAGAAATCAGTGTAAATCACATCTACTTGAAAACCCCTCAACAACTGCCCATTCTACAACTTCAAGCTTCGGATGCCTCGCCGGCTTTGACGATAAGTTTTCGGATAAATCTGGGAAACCGGCAGTTTGAAGTGAAAGGTTAAAGTATTATATAAGGGTCTAGTAAGATTGAAACAGTATTTTTTCAGAAGGATAGAGGGTACCCCGTTCAGACCAGGTTGAGAGTCGTCAAGAGTTGAAAATTTAGTATAAATATCAAATATTTCGTGGGTAGGAGTGTTGTAGTTATTACTGGAATAAGCTGTGGAAAGGTAATCTACGAGCATGCCATATCGTCGCCAGAGCAAGTTGCCATGTCCTGAATCTTAAACTCATTAGGAGAGGATAGCATAGGACGATTCAGCATAGTATTACTGCGTAAAAGTCTTGCATAGGTGTCTCAAACTCGAAAATTCCCCATAGGTTTTTGTGACATAAGGCTTGAATTTAATTAATTCTTAAGTAGAGAACTGTAAAGAATTTGTACCCTCAGATTTTAGAAATTAAAAGTTGTAGGGTATAACTGAAAATTTTCTTTCGTGTTATGCTCATTTATACAGTGAGATCCGAAAAAAAGTAGCAGATGAAACTACTTTTTTTATGGAATATTCTGTATCTTATATCCCTGTGTGAGAGAACTTTAAACGCTTATTTCAGAAATATCTATCAAATTATGGTTATTTAGGATAGGTATTTAAGTCAGAAAATGTGGTGGGCCAATGGGTCTCCACTTTTTTTGTGCTTGTATAGTTTGTTTAACTATTACAATGAGAGTTTTTCGGAAATGAAATAATTTGTAATTCTCAATCGACATATTGAAAATAACAAAAATGCACTTGCGTTAAGACGAGAACATAGGCTTATACCATCTAGAAAGGTAATTAAATATTTTTACAGTGAAGGGCTAAAATATCGCACAAATTCACTTAAAAATCAGATTTTGCATTTCTAAAAAAATATACTGAGCATTTTTGCAGTAAACAGAAAATATACAGGGTGGATCAAAAAGTAGATGTCGATACCAAGCGTCAACACCATTTTCGAATTGGTTAGTAGCTGTACAAGTAAAGTCTTTAAATTGTTTCTGTTGGTAAGAAAATGAATATGGTGCATCTGAATGAAACCTAGAGGGAATTGAAATTTTAATTGTAATTGAATATAGAGAATTCAGGAAGAAGTTTTTAATTTGTTTAACTAAAAATATCATTACAAGCCCATTACAAGATTCACAGTGAGTAAAATTTAGAGAAAATTTATAGATCGTCTATTAAACGATCGTTTACGGCTAGGCCGTCCAAAAACTAATGAGAACACAAGATTTTTTGAGAAGTTCAATATAATTCCCATTGTGTATCTACTGAAATAGCCTACAAATAATGTTGTCAGTCGACAAGCAGCTTTGCGTGTATTAAGAGAAGGAAAGTGTCATCCGTACAAGCTTATATTACTAGTGGAGCTGAACTAAGATGATTCCGACCGCAGACTACACTTTTGTGAAATTCTGATGGAAATGTGAAACTTAAATCCATTTTTTAATCGTCAGATACCGGTTAGTGAAAAATGTTTTGAAGTCGAATGTTCTGAGTGTCGTTCTGTTAATGCTTGATGTGGAATTAAAAGGAACAAAATTGTAGGCCATATATTTTCTGAAGGGGGTAGATACCAAAGAATTATATCGCGAGATGTAGAAGAGTTTATAAATAATATGCCACTGAATTATTTTACAACAAGATGCTCCTAGACATAATATTGCTCGAATTACGGATTATTTCAACAGTAAATATAGATATTGGTTTGGAAGACATGGAAGTATAATTAAAGGGGGAAATAAGACTAAAATATATAATATAAATACTAATCATTCTAAATGGATTAATCAAGCTATAGAAAAACTAAAAAAAGGCTATCGACTATGAGTAGAAATAAATGGTGATCACTTTCAATATTTGACCGAATACAGTAAATAAATAAATAAATAAGTAAATAAATAAATAACGTAATTACCAACACCAAAGTATAGTTTATAATTTTATTAATAATTATTTTTATTCTTTCATTGAAAAAAATTTGGATTTGGCATTTTATATAAATCAGTTGCAAAATAGATTAAACTCGATCTGTAACGGGATTAGGGTCCTTGGATAATAGAACATTAAAAACAATTTATTTTGCAAACTTTGAATAGGTACTTATGTATCAAATAATATTTTTTGGTCGTCATAGTAGAATACAAGCTCTTTTTGTATCCAAAAAAAGAACTGTTCGAGTTTTAAAACAAAATGAGCAGGGTTCAGTAGTGGCGAAATGTGTGCAAAGAAATGGGTACCTTTACAGTGCTTGCCTTGTAAATATTCTAATGTTTAATACTTTTACGTAGAAATTTGAGCTTTTTCCAACATCTTGCTTCAGCATCATTTTTGTTATTTTTAATTTATATATTGACAATTTCAAATTTTTAATTTTTGAAAAACACCATAATCGCTCATTTTTCTGTCAAAATTGATCAATTAAAACGCCGAAACTCTCATATAAAGGTATACTATATAGGACATTCCATACCAAAAAAATATATTTTTATCTTATTTTTCCTTGGATCCCCCGTGACTCTAAACATAACACAGAAAAAAACGTCCAGTTGCACCATACATCTTTTGTAATAAACTTTTTTTTCTAAAATCTGAAGGAAAAAAGTTAGGGGAACGAGGGTGAGTGAACGATAGAGTTTACCTCCTTGATTTCAAAGGTTATGAGAAAATAGTAAATGCAAAAGTTTTAAAGATTGTTAGGATGCACAATATAAAATTATTTTAAAGTATACATGGTGTCTCAAAAATGTGTGGCGAATAATACATATATTTTTTAAAATGTAACACCCTATTTTTACAATTTATTTTGAACTCCTTTTAAGATAATTTAACTTGTTTATTTATAATGACACATACATAAACCTAACAACTTTTTCAATATTTGATTTAAAAAAAAATACAAATTTTCACAGTTGCAAATAAATTACGATAGCACAATTATTTTTAAAGATAGATAGATATTTGATATTAACGTTATTCGAAGATAACGTAAACGATGTATGCAAAATAAATTATTGCTACAGAGTGATCAAAATAAGTGAAAATATTTTCGTTATTTTAAATTAAAAAATCTCGACTTTCTTATACCATTTATATTATTATTTTTTCTGAAAGATCTTATAAAATCCTGCAACTTTTATTAATTTGCCTGCTACTGTAATAATTTGAGATTTATGGATAATGGAAGATTTGATTCGGGACGTGTGCAGGAAAATAACACCGTTTGTGCTACGGAACATCCAAGAAAATATTTGAAAAAGACTAAACATGTATATCCAAGTAGAAGGGCACATTTATTGTTTACTTTTTTGTGAAATTAAAATTTGTCATTTTCACCCAAAATACTAATAACTGTCTGCTTCTTTACTTACCGCTCCAATAACGATCTTTCACCTGTTCATTTTTTAATCTTAACAGAGTCCTAATATTATAGCACTAAGTACAGCATACTTAATAAAAGAAACAATGATAATATATATGGCGTGCCACTTGAAAAAATCTTGATTTTTTAAATTTAAAATGATCCAAATATATTCGTTTATTTTGAACACCGCATTCAAATTCCGTTGCATATATCTTTTACATCATCTTTAAATAACGCTAATGTCAAGTATATATAACAAATAATGGCGATATCGATTTTTTTTTGCAATTGTGTATTTTTTAAGAAAAATTAGATTATTGTAAAAATAATTATGTTTAGGTATATATTATTATTAATAAAAAATAAATATAAATTTCAAAGGAATTCAAAACAAAATTATACAGTTTGCTATGCATCGAAAAATAAATGCTTTTTTATTAATGATACTCTGTCTCTAGGAATAAGGAATAAGAGGTACAATCACGTTTCAAAAATGAATATTAAAGAACTAATAACTAATACTGTTCACTTTCCGTGCGCCTAAACGTGTTAATTATAAAACGTAATAAATAGCAATATAAGGACAACCTTCCCCCCCCCCCACTCAGAGTTCCTTCCTATCCAAACTAAGTTATTATCTTTAAATAATCATTTTAATCCGGTCCAGAGACTACTGGTAATATAATTTTACGTCTGCAGGTAGCACCCCTACTTATTCTTGTTATTAGCACTATAGGTAAGTGCACAAGTTCACTCAATCACGGAATTTTTGTTACTTAACCAACGTGTCTATCGAAACAATCTGTCGAAATCTTTTTGCACAATATTGAAAAAATAGGTATTACACTATGCACTTACAGTGTTTTCGAAAAATCTGTCCACATTTTTACCATTCTCTTTAAGGTAACGACATCGGAATCGGGAAACTGACTCAAGTCTTGGGTACTGTGCGTCCCCCTATGCACCCATAGATATTTGAGTTCCTCACCATGTCCAACTTTTTCGGCGCCTAGAATATAAAATAATTTCGGTAACATTTGCTAAGCTCATAGATATACGAGGTGGTCACTGTTTTCGTGGGATCCTATGGTTAGTTTTAAGCCACTAAAGATACAGCATCATGTCCTGAAGCTACTACAATTAAATTATAAGAGGTAGACTAACGAATATTTTGGTAAAATCAAATTCTTGATTTTAGTATTTAGTTCCTACCAATTTTGCCGGAAAAAGTTATACTAAAGTTGCAGGGTTCGAAACAGGATTCTTTGATATTATGTTGTGTTTTTCTACAGAGTGTCCGAATATTAACCAAGTATTTCATGTCTATTCTTACTTCTGAAAATTTACACCTGAAAATCGTAATTTTCTCAATTTTGAGTTAAAATCTGTGTATAAGGTTCGAGATTGCAGGTTTGCAAGTTTCAATTTTAACTTTTTATAAGGTATTAAAATGCATAAGGAAAATACTACTCCTGTATAAAGCATGTCAAGGAATTAAATAAAATTTTGATGCTTTTTTTTAATTTTTCACTAACGTTGAAGGAGAAGAAAATGAAATGTCAAATTTTTCAAATTTTTAATCGAATTGATTGATTATTTTCTGATTATTCTAAAATGGCAAATAATCTAATTTTTAAAGAAAAATGCTTTTATTTCGGAATCTTTTTAAATTAAAAAAAATATATATTCTTTTTGCTTGCCCCCGGTATAATCTCACATTCTGTGCGCTTCTGTATACCAAGGAATCGTATAGTAAGAAGCATTGATTTTTCTGTGTGTTTAACTTGTTTAACAGTAAATTTCTTATGAGGCGGTTCCATCTGAAAATGCAGGTCCAGGTAGTCAATTATGTCTTTTCCTTCTTCAGATGATAGTTCTAATGGTTTTAATGCCTTTTTTAGGTGTTTAGAGAAAATATCTGCCCTTTCTTTGGCATTTTAAGCCCACTTTTAATGGGTGGGTTGTGTTGCTGGGGCCTTTGTTCTTTTTGGATTAAGTATTTAAGTTTTTTTTTGAAAGGAGGCTGACTAATTATTCTCTGAATAGCGACCAATCGGTCCTATTGTTGTACAATTTTCTTTGATTAAATCTTCCGAGTACACACAAAGAATGATTTGATTTTGCATTTTTTGGTATCAATGGCATTTGTGATGAAGAAATCTATGACATAAAGAGTTTTATTTATATCTGGTGGCTAGTATGTTGCTTCGCCAAATTGCCTACGGTGTAGAGGAATTTTTCTCTCACGTAGTGTTTGATATTATCACGTATAATTATATTGTATTATTCTATTTTAGGAATTGTGGGCTCAGCAACTCAGTCTGAGAATTGGAGGTAGTATTAATATCCATGGGACAAAGGGAGGGATTTATAGTTACTATTTCAGTCGATGGTAAATACTATTTCAATAGGTAATATTATTATTAGAGAACATATATTTAATTTTTTTTGGACTCTGTTACTATGAGGGGTATTGCAACTCATGTAAATCAAACTGATGAATTAAAGACCAAGAGATTATCAATAACCGAACAAGAGACGATTGTGCAAAAAAAATAACTGTAGGATTTTGGAAGCAAAGGATAATTGAAATGCACGAAAAAATCAAAATGATCAACTAGGGAGGAAAACCTTATAAAGAGAGGATATTTAGCACAAAAAATTAAAACTAATAGGAGAGATGTAGTTTAATTTTGAATTTTTTACAGATTATATTGAAAGTTTCGTTTGCGCTTTGAATAAAATTAGCAAGGATGTAGATCTTTCTAGTAAGTTTAATACGGACACATACAAGTGAAAAACTGAAGAACATTCTAAAAAAATAAGGAAGCAAACATATTTTCCAAATAAAAAGTGGAAGTATTATTATTATTTTTTGGTATTATTTGAGATTTTATATGTTTATGCCTGGTAGCACATCGTAGATAGCCTGTTAGAAGTATCTGGCGAATTAATAAACGGATTTACTTTAAATTGTACAAGATGCAGTGTAGTCGCTTCTAGATAAACGCTTATGTTTAATCTAAATGGTACCCACTGTATAATTTGACCCTTGAAGAAATCTCAATAGTTCTGTACTTTAATTGAACAGATATCCGAACTTCAACATTCGTTACCGGTATACTATTTTAGATAGAATAAACAGGATGTTTTAAAAATAAAATTTTGTACGGGAGGTCTAGAAACACCCGGTATATTCTCGCATTTTCGAATTCTAATAACTAAGTAAATATTTATTAATTCCTCTGAGCGACAAAGTATGCAAAATTCAAATCGCCAATATGGAATCGTCAATACAGAAAACTTAGTATGTAAAATTTAATATAGAAAATCTTACACAGAGACAGACGGACGTAAGATAATAATAAAATATTAAAAAACAAATTAATAAATATTAAAAAATATTAAAGATCAAGCACAATCAAATGTTATTTTTCATCTTTAAAAAAGTCTTCCACTGAATATTAGTTTTTATTCAGAAAAAAGATATTCTTACTATTTTTTAAAACATAATTGCCACGACAGTCGCCATTTAATTCAAATTATTTATTTGGGCATATATATCCATATAGTTGGGATGTTTCTGTTCCACATGTAATCTTAAAAATGGTAGAGAGTACAAGTACAGGAGTACTGTTTTATTGTTGCGTTTGGCATCTCTTAATGATATTTTTGTGAAAATTATCATAGGAAACATATAGCGACAAGAAATAGCGACAATAAAAAGAGAAGGAGAACATCCTGGCTTAGGAATTTCAGGGAATGGTTTGGAAGGTAATCTAACTTACTACTCAGAGCAGCTGTCAACAAAGTCAGGATAATTTTGGTTGGTATTTTTGGGGAGATTGCTAGAAAATTGGAGAATTAGAGAATTGATCTGGCAATTAAACCGTTTTATATATAACGCCTTATATTATTCAATCGTCAAATTTGATTAAAATCATATTGTCTTTTTTATAAAATTGTATTTCAAGTCTCTAACAACAAGCATTGTTTCTTAAAAAAGTGAGAAAAGATTTTGGCAAAATTGAATCAGTCTTTCAGACTAACATACCTTCCTCGGATAAATCCCAACCTCCAAGCTCGCCATCATATGAAAATACGTAAAAATAGACATCCGAGTATTGGGACATGAGCTCTCCTTGGCGGATTACACCTCTCGTGAATCCATTATCACTCATGTACTAAAAAAAATAACGATATAACTATAACTGTTTCTGAATAAATTTCTTTTATTCATCGTTATCAACTTTAAGTTTTTGTTTTTTTGTAATAAGTACTAAGTTATTTGGTTAAATAAAATTTGATTTGATTACAAGCATGTCTAATAAAATTTTCCTTATTTTGGTTTTTTATTAGTAATAGTTTATGAAATTACAATTTATTTATTTTTTATCTTAAAAGTGTTCTTTCTTTTTCGATATTCGATAAATTAGTAGTCGGCTAATACTTGGTCTGCCTAGCTTACATAGGTTACACAGCTAGTTTAAAATTTAAATCTCTTGAAAACAGCATACATTGAACAATAATACCTTTTTTTATTTAGAGAGTGCCAGAAAATGACCCTGTCTTACCAGAAATTAAATTTTTGGTATTGCAAATTTTTGTGCCTATATTTTTAAAATTGTAAATGTAAGTAATAAAAAAGGACAAAATTAAAATTTTATCTTCCTTTGTTTACGTAAGCTTCGACTTTAGGACATAGGTTTATGTGACTAATTCGTTTGAAACACGGCAGGTTTCAATTTGAATAGAATAATTTTCGTCACTTTTTTCAATTTCATTTTAATTTTTTTTCAACAATGTGTATTGTTAAGAATTGAAATTGCTATCTAAATTTGTTTGTACTTGTATTATTACCTAAATTTGTTTAACAGATCATTTTAAACAATTTAGGGTACTAGAGTACACTATTTAAAGAAATTAAATTGGACAAAATTACAGTTTACAGTTTTACAGATTTGCAAACGCCATTTTTGACATAAAATGGTAAATATCTCAGAAACGGTGAAATTTAGGTGTTTAAATATGTCTAGAATTTTCCGTACAATCCAAACAAGCAATAATATATAGGGTATTCCATTTAAAATTAGAAAACTTTCAAATTTGTGCTATCAGTAGTCCTCTCACAAGAGTTCAATAATCTGCACAATCTTTTCCGAGTTGTCAAAAATGTTATATTACATACTCGTATCGTTGAGTTCATAAAATCACCAAAATTATTATCCCTCTCCATGTAAATTTCTTTTATATCTTCTGCTATCACCGATCTGCCAACTTCATTTCTCGTTTTGAAATTTTCGGGGATAAGAATATCGAGATCTGCGTCATATGCCCTTCCTTGCACTTTGACGGCTTTCGTTGCTAAAAAATAACAGTAGGGTAGGTAAAAAATAATTCAAAAAGCATCTCTGCTGTTAGAATTCTTACATTGCAGCATAATTATTTCTTCTTCAGAATTTACTCCTAATATGAGAGGAACTTTGTTATAGTTTCCCTGTTCAAAGGCCTCATACATCCCTTGGGTGATAAAAGCACCTTCATGTTCTATTTCCACAACAGGTAGCGTCAGTTTCTGTAAAACAAGGAATTTTTTGTGTTAGTTCGGTTTAGTTTTCTTCAAATGTGTGTGTGTGTAGGTTGGCATTTATTAGTTCCCGTGTATAACAACAAAATATACATCAATATGCATTGTTGGATCGTCAAGAGAGAAAACTGAATGTATTCAAAGATTTTACTATTTTAATTTTAATGATTCAGGTCATTATTAGTTTGTGCTTTTGTGCATAAGTAGCCAGATTTTTTTTTATAAAAGGAACGCAAACTAACTTATGTGCGATATCAATACGAATTAGTAATGCCAACTAGTAGTGAAATAGCATAACTTTTGCGTCCACCCATCATCAAGATATCATCAAGTTTAGCCTTAAAACTCGCTAATCAAAGAATCGCATTTCGTTCCCCCACGCACCGAGAGATGGCGGCACATTTTCGCAGATTGTGGCAAGAGATGCGGCCATTTTTCGTCCTGAATAAGATGTCACTTGGTATTTTACTAATTAATTAAGTGAGTTTTTTTTCAATTGCGTCTTCTACAATTGAAAATTTGTAAGAATAAAAGTAATATTTATTTAATAAAAAATATTTTAAAATTTTTTATTAAAACTTTATTTTTGCGTTTGATATAAAGTCGCTATTTGAAATAATTAGACATTTTACACCCACATAGTTTGGTAGGTGGTACGTGTTTTTAATCCTACCATTATATTACATGCGTTTCATCTCTGTTAACAATATCCTTGTTCAGTTTGACAATGCAGCCATTGATCCAGCTTCTTTTTCAAAGGTAACTTATTTTTACAATCTTTAGAAACTCTCTAAAACAGTTCCTCTTAAAAATATATATATACATACATATATATATATATATATATATATATATATATATATATATATATATATATATATATATATATATATTATATATATATATACTTAAGAAATGGTTCTTGGGTTTCACAAGTAACGGAAACTTATTTTAATTTCACTAAAGAAGGACCAAAAAAAACCCAAGAACCATTTCTTAAGAATATATAAAATCAAAAGGATCCAAGAACTCACAAACTAGAAATATATATATATATATATATATATATATATATATATATATATATATATATATATATATATATATATATATATATATATATATATATATATATATATATATATATATATATATATATATATATATATATATATAATTTAAGAATATCTATGGGGACTGTGTCTCTTCAATTTTTTATTGGAAAACAATGTCAAGTTAATTTTCCTGCCAGGTAATCTACATGAGTAGCCCATGCGAGTTTTTCCTCAATGAATAATCCAAGAAAGTTTTCAGCGTATGAGTTTTCTCATGTTTTTTTAAAATTTGCGTTTACATTTTTGGCAGCAAATTCCATTGCCACTGATTTATCGATATTTGACGTGATATATATACACCTTACACCAATTTGACATTGTATTTCTAGCTGATACTCCCTCTATTTTAACCCATCAAAGACTGACGTTACTATTTAGTAACAGAAACGATAGATCATTTTAACATGTGCACTGGAAGTTTTTTCTAAATTGCTGAGTGGCATTCCATATGCATTTTATATATCTATTTTAAAGAAAATTTTAGTTTCATTTTGAACTTTCCAGTATGTGTAATCTAAAAAAAATGAGTAATTAATTTGTTCCCTTATTAATATATGTAGTAAGTATTATTCATTAAATTTTTCTCTTTGAATGTGTACATTTATGTATATCGAATTTTGTTTTGTTATCGTTTTTAATTTCTTTTATCGGTGAACAATTATTGCTTTAGTAACAGTTTTTTTTGTAAGCTGAGATTACTCATTAAAGGAGAAGTTACATATCAAGGCGACCAACCATCCTATTCAACAAAACTAATCAAAACTAACGAAAATAAAATTTAAAAATAGGGTATATTAACAAATATATTCCACGCTTTTGTGAGCAATCTTTACAGCTTTTGTATTTACCATTTTATCATAACTTCTGAAACCATTGAAATAATGAACTTCACTCTACTGTTGACTCGCCCTGTACTGTTGACCAATAAACGTATAAACACAATAAAATAAATAGATTTTGGAAATGTTTCATTATAACAATTTAAATATTGGATATCCTAATTGAAGTGATGAACTACTTACAATTTCGGTCATCGTTGAAGCTTGATCAATCTGCCTAGCCTCAATGCTTTGCAAATACGCTAACATGGATTCGCTGTCTTTGGAAATTTGTATTTCAGGATCTATTGCATCCAGCAAAGCAAAAATGTAATCTAAAGGATTCATTATTGATGCCCATTCGTTCAGTGGCGATCCACTCTCTGCTATAGCGCCTCGAAACAATCCTAAAACGCATTCAATATAATCATGTTCTTGGTTCACTAAAAGTAATTGTATATACAGGGTGTAAATTATGACTTTGATGTTCTCGAAAATTATTCAAAAGATAAGTTGAAATGGAGCAAACAAGAAACAATTTCTCACACCATTTTCAAAACATTTTAAAATTTTTATATTAATGTCATGGTGAGGAAAGTTTGAGAATAATTATAGTGCGAAAAATGAATTAAAAAAAAAAGTACCAAACAGTGTAAATGAAATGTTGAAAGTAACCTCCTTCTTCCAGGCAGTAGTACAGCCTTTGTCAAAAGGCTCTTCTGATAGTTTCCAATATTTTTGGAGTTGTTCTTCCGCATTCATCTATTCTGCAACTCTTGCGGAGATGCTTATCCCATTTTGCCTTTGAAATACCCCATAAAAAATTTAAGTCTTTCAATCCACCAATCGGGGTATCTATTATTTAAAAATTTAAAATATATTTAAAAAAAATATATTTAAAAATTTTAAATATATTTCTCCGTTAAGATTACCAGTGCGGATTTGAAATAGCATTCAGTCGTTTCTTGGCAAAATTGTTGCCTTCTGTCACCGCCATTTTTCTTTAGGTCATGTAAAAGCTTAAGGTGATGTTTATAGAAAGGCAAAATGTTTTGAACTGTCATGTTTTTATTTCTTTTGGCTTTAACATGACCTAGAATAGTCACTTCTATAGTCTCGTCTCTTATTAAAAATCTGCTATGGTGTATTTTGTTACAAGCGGATCCAGCGACTTTAATTTTTTGAGTTAACCTGCTAATGTATTTAATGGTTAGATCCACATGTACTATGTATCAAGAGGCATTATTTCGTGTACCACATTTTTATAAAAATACAATAGTACGAAGTACGAATGCGAAGTATCGAAACTTTGAGGTGTATTTTCGATTTTTGAAATCTTTATAATTATTTCTTATCATTGTAGTAGACTGAGTCTTTAAGAATTGTTAATTCTGTTGTCAAGGCGGTTGTTTGACATCAGTTTTTAAATTCAGTTTTTCGCGTCTTATTGATTTGGTGTTTAAAATATCCGAGCATTGTTATTTTAAAAAAGAATGGTCGAGTTTACTAATGAGAAGTTGGCAGATATGCATTTTATGTGTAGTTTCGCTGATGGCAGTGTGCTGGAAACTAGACTATTATATAAAGAGCACTTTCCTACCAGATAGGCGACACATTTTGAAATATATATTGAAAGCTGCCTGAAACAGGTACTTTAAGGGCAAATAATCATTTAAAAGGAGTCCATCGGACTATACGAACTTCAGAAAAAAAGAAAATAAGAAAAAAAGAAGAACAGAAAAAATTCTATTGATAAAAATCCTAAACTTGATACTACAAAAATTGGAAATATTCGGAATATCTCGTATGTCTTGGGTTGGAAAATTTTGCACGATTTTGTATTGTACCCATATTCAATGGGTCCAAACATTTTCTCCCAGAGATTTTCATTTGCCTGTGAATTTTTGACAATGGTTTCACAGATGAAGCTAACTTATCCAGAAATGCAGTTAGAAATTTCCACATGTTGGGGCCGATGAAAACCCCCATGCAGTTGCAGAATTTAAACATCAAGAACAGTTTTTGGTAAATGTTTGGGCTGGAATTGTGGGAAATTACTCAATTGGGCTCTTTTTCCTGCCAGAGAGGCAAAATGGCCATAATTATTACCTGTTTTTAGAAGAGGATTTGCCATTATGGCTACAATAAATACCATATTTAATTAGGACCAGACTGTGGCGCATGCATGAAGTGTGTGTTGTCGTAAAAGAGCTTAAGCGTGTATCATTCAAGGTGGAGCACACTTTCAACAACTTATCTAGTTTCTATGTTCCACTACTAAGGAACAATGAAAAAGAAAGTGTAATTTGAATATGTTCCCAATTGCACTTACTGTTCCTACATATTTAAATCTTAAAAAACTGCTGAAAACTATAACATAGCAAATCAAAAAATCCGGCAATAATTTATATTTTTTAATGTAAAATTTGTCTGCAGACGAATGTTGTCTGCAAAATTCCTTGAAGTGAAGTGTAAAGAGCATAAATCATATCAAGTCAAGTATAGCCTTAGTCAATGAAAACGAAAGCGATGTTGGCGCCAATAACGTAGGTAGGTTCGCAGAAGTGAAGTATTTGACGTGCAGTGATATCTTTAGAATATGTAATTTGAACGTCAGAAGCTGAATGAAACTAAAACTATAAAATGCGATTCTTATTAACTGATAGACTGAGAGACCTTGTAAATTGTGTTTCACAGATAAGTGTAGACCCTTACTAATTTTTTTGTTTTTATCATGCTCCCTCGGCAAATGTTAATATTTTCAAGGCCAATATTAACTTATTTTTCAATAAATTTTGTTCAGAGAAAAGTCTTCACTTGTAAATCAACGATCCCAATGCTAGGAGTCCCGGGGTAAGTCTAAAACATTAATTGATAATATTTTAAATAATTTTGAGGATAATGCTAAAATCTACTCAATTGAATTTTATCTTTCTGAGCTTAATATGCAAATAATTGCTGCGAGCTGCTCGTCAAAATTAAAAGATTGGTCTTATGATAAAAACTTTAAGAAATAAAGAAATATGTTGCTTTAAGCAATTATTTATTAAATGAAGAAAATGCAAGTTAAAAGTTTGATAAGTTTATGCACAAGTCTTTTAGATAACGGTTTTCCTCTAGGGTCAAAAATATTTAAAAAATAAAAACGTCACCAGAAAATCTCCTTGGTTAACTAGTGATTTTGTTGCAGAGGGTAATTTTTTACACAAATAAACATAACTACTAATAATTATAAACAACACCTTAAAAAGCACAAAAAAACATAACAATGGTTTGACTGAGCGAAATACTAATAAGCAGTGTGGCGAATAATGAAATTAATATTAAAATAAAAAAAAACTTATCCCAAAAGCTTTAGAGGTAATTGTGCATTGTACCACTTATGTCAAAAAAATACGTCTGCTAAAGTTCACAATTATCACCTAATCCTAGATCACCTAATAACTTGGGAGGTCCATGCAAGCATGGGTACAATGAGATGCAGAATGCCTATTAAAATTTATAACCACTTGTCAGACTCTATTAGACTGATTACCAATAAAAGCGAGTTTAAAAACTCCCTAAGAAAAGATATTATTGAGTAAAATAATACAGTTGAAGAAGCTTATTTAGAATAACTGGGAGAATGGGTTTATGATTGCTGAAGGATTAGAGAGGGTGGCTAATTAAATGATGTAGGCGGTTGTATCTCGGAGCCGTATAGCGAAATTAGTAGGGGTAAAAAGAGTTTGTAATAAAATTGACCATTAGAAAATGCTAGAATTTGTTTTTGAGTTCGTAAAATTGCCGCTAAGAGGAGCATTAATCACGAAAAAATACAAATGTGTCGATACTAGTTCTACTATGAAGGTGAAATATGAACTTCAATTTAGAACGACTCTCATAACTTTGGCATAGGTAAAGAGATTCTAATAAATTTGGTCTTATTTGAATGACTGCGATTAGCCTTTCACAAAGCTTTTTTTATTTCGTCTTTCTTATACCGTCTCCGAAGGATGACGTTAACTTATTAATTGAAAATCAAATCTAACTATATATTTATTTATGTATAGTTTACACATTTCACAAAAAAATGTTTTCTTTTGTTCAGTGAGGTACTGGGAGATATTTCAACAAATTTTATCAACAAAAAATGATACGCCATTGACTTTTTGTAATTTTTATTTGTTTGTTTAGATTAAGCAAAGAAAAACAAAACTTTTTTATATCTTCGATTATTTTCATATTCCTTAATTTTTGGAAAAATAATGGGAGGCATTTCGAAAATCATTGAAGTGCAAACATTTTTTTTAGACTAATATAAGAGAAGAATTAAGGAGATAAAAAAAGTGTTATTTTGGGATGTCACTGAACAAAACACAGGATCTATTTTTTTCATGAATGTAGAGAATTTAATTCTCATTTCAACTGAAACTTAAAAAAGACGAAACAAAGAAAGACTCTTGTCGGTCTTTCAAATGACATGAAGTTCATTAAAATCACTTCAGCTGTACCGAGGTTATGGGATTTTTTATAAATTGAAAATAAATTGCAACCTGTACAGAAAGTATCAAATATTAAGATGGTACCTTATTTGGTATTTTTAAAGATTACAATTTCGAACCCTAGCGATCTTAGAATTAATAAAATTATTAATACCTTTGTTTTTCGAACTTAAAATTTGGTAACCAACTGAGGCTGATCCCGCACTCTCTCCCATTATTGTAATTTTATTGGGATCGCCTCCGAAAAATTCGATATTATCGAATGTCCATTTTAATGCAAGCGATTGATCTTTTAGACCTGCATTTCCTGGTAGGACTATATCACCGGTAGACAGAAATCCAAATGGCCCTATCCGGTAGTTGTGAGTGACGACGATGACATCATTCTCGATGAAATGGTCAGGGCCTATACTCCCTAGTCCTGCTGATCCAGCCCTAAACCCTCCGCCGTAAATGTAAAACACTATCGGTAAACGTGAGGATGAGTTATTAATCTGAAAAACACATGAGATTTTAAAAGTTAATTAATTAATAAATTACTTTATTAATAATATTAATAGTGATAATAATAATAATAATAATAATAATAATAATATTTACTTTTATCTTAAATCCAAATCAATAGTACAAAACGAAATTCACAAATTAACATTTGGGTATGTTCCTAAAATTTACAGAGTAAAAAATATCCAAAGAAGACAAACATTAGGATGTTCACAAGATCCATAGATAACACATTAACCAGAAGTGCAAAGTTATCTTAAATATTTTAAGTTCATCAGATCTTTGAAAGTTTTTATGCTACTACCAAATATCCAACTCTCAACAATTATCTTAATTTTTTTAAACTGTATTTGGAACAACAATATGATCCGGAACCATACGAGATAGCCTCGGTACCAAATAACTACTTGTAAGCTGGTCAATGGTCTTTGAACATTATATCGCGTTCGGTATAAATATTTTTCCATTACAAAATTATCAGTCGCTTGAATCAATGAATCAACAAATATTCTGAAATCAATTGTCACTTCTCTCTGAGCGATTTTGACTTTGAAATTCACTCTAAAATATCCAATGATGCAACTTCAAAACGACTGTTACGAACCTATTCGAGCGTTTCCGGTCAATGTTAAGGTTTGGGTTAGTTAGCACTGCGATCCAAAGGGTCTCTTGTGACTCTTTTCATAGAAATTGCGAGATCCGTCTCTCGGACCAGACCTCCACAGCTTCGATAGTGACCTGATGTAGCTCATTGCTTCTCGTTTAGTTACGCCCAGCAGATGGAAACACACTCTCGACATTTTGTGGCTGCTATGACTGTCGGTGTGGAGCGCAATTGTAATCTCTGGTTGGAACACTGTAGCTAAATTACTGGGTTTATATATTCCAGCTCCTAATCCTTCTTGAGTTTTTGAGTCGTCTGTGTACAAGATTATTTCTGCCCTTATTGGTGGCTAATTTTTCCGTGGCTGTGATTTGAGTGTTGTAATCTTGTAGTATTTGGGTTTTATGCTGTCCATATGCAGCTCTATGACTTTATCCTTGTCTTTATATCCGGCGGCGCATTGCTAGTTGTGCTCATAGCTCCAATAACGCACAAACTTGGTAGCCGTCACACGCTACTCATCTACCTTATTGCCTCCATCTGCATGGTTCTTGTGCACTAGATACTTACTACCATTATGTATAGCCAAAGTGACATTTATAGGTTTACGATCCAGTTTCTTTCGATCAATTGTTTTGCACCTTTCTAGTACAATTGTTGCCCTACGTGTGCTACTTTGATTGCGCGCTGAATACTTTGCTTCCTTGGTACAGTGTACTAACCCCTTATACTAGCTGCAGTTTCAGTTCTGTAAAAGCTCGCCTGTTAGCAAATGGAACAGCTGTCGTCTTCTTCAGGTTGACTGTTAATTGCTCATTTTACCAGAGAAAATCTTAAATCTTCTTCTACAAATTCACTAAGCATTCGATATTTGTCCTTTACAAGATTTTCATGGCATAAATCCCGCTTGTTAGGGGAATAAGTTTCGAGTTGATGATCCTGGATACAGTCAAGAGCGAGACGTTCATACTGGTTGTAAATATGATACAACAAGGATAGTGGACGATAGTTACTCGCCAGCTCTGGCTCTTTGGTTTTTTGATTTGCGCCATAATTTTGGTATTTTGTTAAGTATTTTTGTGGTTATTATGGAAAGGTGTTGTATATACAGATATCCAGAAATCGTTTGACTAAAATGATTACCAAATATTACTGCATAATCGTATCTCGATAACATGCAATTCTCTTTTGAATATAAAGATTTTCGTTTCTACGTCAGGAGTTCCTCAAGGGTAGAATTTAGGACCCTTACTTTTTAAAATTTTAATCAATGATTTATCCATAGCGTTTGTTGTTTGTGGATGAGTTAAAGATCTTTCTGCATGTCACCCAACAGAATGATTTGCAGGAAACTACAAAACGCTGTGCTCAGTATATAAAATGCTACGATTTTGCATTAATTAAAATATTTAAGGATTTTACTGTTTTACTTTACTTTAAGTGTTTACATGTTTAATTTTTTTGGCTGAACTTAGATTTCTTCATCGTTAGTCTCATCGTCTGTAGCTTCATATTCCAGATTGTCATCCTCGACATTTTCTGCATTTTCTACTTATTTCCACCATTATTTTATGTCAGCCTGTTTGAAATGTCTTGGTAGCCACGACTTTTGTGTTCCAATTTGTTTTGAAATAAGTTTAGAGGTATTAAGTCATCTGGGTCATAATCAGCTAAATTTCCGGTGAAAAGTTTGTGGCAACACTTTCTGAAGAGTTTGTGGTCACTTTTTGCCATGAATTAAGAATAATCCTTTAGTGAAAAAATAAGATCTAAAATGCCTATTCGGTAATACAGGTTGGATAATCCGATAGCATTTTGAAGCAGAACTTTACGGGCACTATCGCTGTTTGTTCAAGATAGAAAAGTGATTCATTCTTTGCTGGATTTTATGCTTGGCGCCGTTGCTTCTTTGCTGTGAACTAAAAATTTATTTTATCGGGTAATAACTTCCATAAAAGTCCTGACTCTCTGTGTTTTAAATTTGCTGAGGGAGAAGATCGTAATCTTTTATTACTTCGCTTAGTTTTGCAATAAAAGCAGCTGCTTTATCATTTGATAACGTCTCTCCGCAAATATAATGATGGCTTAATCCATGTCTTTTTTTAAAATTAAGAAGACAGCCTCCGCTAGCAACAAATGCATCATTTTTATAAATGCTTTGGAATAGTTGTCGAGTTTAGCCGCTAGGAATTCAAACGAAAGTCGTTGCGTCGTTGCTCAAGAAACCAGCAATATCTCTTTATCTCTGGATGTTCTGCTTGCCATAAAGTTTTATGAGAGCCGGCCCAGAATGGCCAATTTCAACAGATCTACAATCTACTTGATCATTATCCTCCATGATCAACTTTTGTTACTCCAACTGGAGTATCTTAAGATTAGACAGACTTCTTTATCTGTGGGCACCCTGCATAAACTCGTTATTAATTCTACAGACTGTCCGTTTATACGGGAAAGAATCAATTTCGTAATTCCACACTATAATTTTAAGACTGGACCAATATGATGCATCAAGCATGTCTGGATCTTTTATCATATTCCTGGCTTGTGTGACTTTGACTCACCGTACACTCATTGTTGTTTGTTATTGTTTCCAAAAGTGAAGGTAGTCTGAAGGACTATTAACGTATTGTTCGTTTTTTTCTATTATTGCTATGGATAACAATCGGTTTTAAACAGGTGTTAGTTAGTTAGCCAATTATTGCTTTGTTATAAATAAGCATTATTATTATCAACTGGTCTTTTGGACCTCGAAGTCGTGACACATCAAGAAATAATTATTCCAATTGCTGCTGCAACCGATTACTTTGTAATTCTCTGAAAGCAATGCTCGCATCTTATCATTGAATGTCCCTTAAGGCAAGAGGATTGAATAGTTTATTACAACGCGATTTTTAAATGTGAATTAAAAAATGCTAACAAGAGTGTTGTCAGATTTACAACTGCTAATATTTTTTTTTAACACTTCAGAATTTTTGTGGTTTTTGAAGAGAGAAAACTTTAGAAGTGTATTAGTGAAGGTTACATGAAATATAAATATCAAGGCAAAATCTGACAACATTGCTGTTAATATATTGGAATTCTGTACGAGGGGAATTGCCGCGCGCAGAGCTTGTATAGTACACCTTTCTGCCGCTAGGTTGTGGATAGTACAACTTATTGCGAGTTCAAAGCGACCTTTTAAAGTTATTATTTATTTGTTCACTTGCAGTGCCATTTTTTGTTAACGCTGCTTTTTTGTTATTTCGTTTTCTTCGATGGCAAGTTTAAAGATCAACCTGCAGCTGTGAAATTTTGTTTTCTGCTCGGTAAAAGTGCTGCTGAAACTGTTTCAATGTTAAAAACATGCGATGGGAAAAACTCAAGTGTACCAGTGGTTTGTTGGCTTCAAAAATGGCGACGAGTCAATTGATGACGTTCTGGACGTCCATCAACTGCTCGAATCGACGAAAATATTGAAAAGATTCGAGAGTTTGTGCTCACAGACCGTCGACAGACAATTGAACAATTATCAAAGATTAGTGGGTTGTCTTGGAGCAGGGTTCAGCGAATTTTAACCGAAGATTTGGGAATGAAAAGAGTTGCTGCCAAGTTTGATCCTCGTGTTCTGACTGGCATGCAAAAAGAACATCGAGTTGAAACATGTCGTGCTTTGAATCAACAGCTTGAACCGGATCCAGATTTTCTTTCGTGACGAGTCATGGTGCTATGGTTACGATCCAGAAACAAAGCAACAGTTCAGCCAATGGAAGACGTCACTTTCTCTCCGTCCAAAAAAATGTCGTCAGGTCAAATCAAACATCAAAACGATGCTGATTTGCTTTTTCGACATCAACGGCGTAATTCATGCAGAGTTCGTTCCAACCAGGTAAGACCGTCAATCAAGCTTATTATCTGGAAGTTTTAAGAAGATTGCGCAACAGTATTCGACAAAAAAGACCCGATTTGTGGCGGACAGGGGACTGGTTCTTTCACTACGATAATGCACCTGCACAGACAGCCATTTCTGTTAAGCAGTTTTTGACTTAAAATGGCATGGTTCCTCTGCCCCCATGCACCTTACTCGCCTGATCTCGCTCCGTGTGACTTTTTCTTATTTCCAAGTATGAAAAGGGACATGAAAGGACCGCGATTTGACAACATTGAAGAGGTCAAGAAAAAAACGAGGGATGAGCTGTCGGCTATAGCCAAAGATGAATATAAAAAATGTTTCGAACAGTGGAAGCACCGCTGGGACAAATGTATTAGTTGTAATGGAGAGTATTTTGAAGGGGATAAGGTCGTTCTGTGATTTTCAAAACAATATATAGCTTATAAAAAATGATTCCGGTTTTTTTTGGGTACCCCCTCGTATGTCCAAAAGCTTGAGAGATATTCAAGCGTTCAAGTACTTTTGTCTTTGATGGATCGAAGATGTTGCGAGAATATTGGACAAGTGGTAAATCTGGTTTTAACATTATATTTCTTAATAACTTTTGATACGTTCTTAGTAATGTTTTTAATATAAGGAAGCAGCACAGTGGCTAATATGGATCTGGTTTTGCACTCATTTTCTTTGGAAGATGCTGATTTAGTGACTTTATTGAAACGCTCTCTATTTGAGAGAAAAGCAAATGATAGTCAAGAGCTCCGTAAACAAGAGAGTTGATAAACTTTTTTGTCCGGATGGTGATGTGACAATTCATATTAATAGGAATATCTAAAAATGGGAGATTATTATTAGTTTCTAATTAAATTTTATAACCTATGTTACGGTGGATAGTGCTTTAATAATTAAGGAAATTTTTGAGGAGTTGTCGTTCATGAAGCCTAAACCCGTATAAAAGCAGGTACAGAGTAGCATACAAACAAGTTTCAGTTAAGCTTCGAACAAGCCAACATGATGATTGGTGAAACGTCAGCAAGTTCGATTCAACAACAAGCGACGCTTGTTGCCTCCATGTCGCCTGCAGCACTCTAAAGCTATAAAGCGGCTATAAACAGTTTTTTTTTAAATTCGCTGTGCTTTAAGTTTTTTGTACTCTTTTTTTTAAGTCAAAAGTGAATGTTGTCGTCACAAGCTTTAATTTTTGGGAAGAAATTTACTGGATGTGAAAAATTTTTCACCAAACAAAGTATACATACATCCGGAACTTCGTCTATCTGTTACGGAAAAACTATTATCAAAAATATGAAAATTTAGAACTAAACGAATGTTAATGAGGGCAATCCTGTTACAATACCTTCAACATGCCAGTAAATTGAGATAGACCGGAAGTGAGTTAAATGGAATAACCTGCATATTATTACTTTACATGTATAACACCTAATACACTATAATGAAATTGAAATAACTGGCGAAAATCTTTTTGTTCAAATGGGAACCACCTATTTACATTTACAAATATTGCAAATGTCATTTTTGACATAAAATGTTAAATATTTCAAAAATTTTAGCAATATTATATAGAGCGTTCCATTTAAAATAAATAAAACTGGCATACTCTTCCGGTATATCCCGATGTACTTCTTACACATATTATAGCTTCACAATATTAGTTTAATTCGCAATTTTCGATTTTTTTCTACTTATAATTTTCCAATAACGCATCAATGGACACGCTGTATATTCAATCCGTGGAATAAACAGTTTATGAAAAAAACATACATTTTTCTGACTTGTCGAACTTAATCTCGACACCAAAATAGGCGTCCTTGTACCTACAGAAATTTAATTTATTGGGAAGCACTGGCAAAACCGATTTTCAACATTTTTTTGAAATATTTATTAGTAATCGGTTTTATAATTGCCTCTCGATAAATTAAATTTCTGTCCAAGGACGCCTACTTTGTTTTTGAGATTAATTTCGATTAGATATGAAATAATTTACAAAAACGTAATTTTTACGTTGATTTGTATATTCCAGCGAATTGAGAAAAGTGTACGGGATGGGCCTGTTTATTATGGCACCTTAGCAGATACTATAAAGATTAAAAAAAGTCTATAAAGTATACTTTTCAAATATTATAAGGTTATATAAACGGGTAGTTTTATTTTAGTGGACAATTAGAAATTTTCTTATTAGAAATTGAACACCCTACATGCTATACTTAAGTCTTGCCGTTTATAGAATATTATGAATTTTATGTCAAAATTGATATTGCAGACCTAAATATGGATTTCTCTGATTGCGAGCCATTGTGATATATTTGGGGTTGATTTTATAAGAGGGGGTCTACTTTAGTGATCTGTATTGATGCTTTAAAAATAAATAACATCATTGTGTTTAAAAAGTATTAAAACTATAAATAAAAAAGTCTTTAAAATTCATTTTTTTTGAAAGGGTGGGAAGGGAGCACCTTATTTATATAATACTATAGCATGAATAGTGACTTTGTATAAGGTTGTCTACTTATAGAAGTTATAAATTATGAAATATTAGCAATAAAAGTTTCTTCCATTGTGAAAATTTTATCAAAGCGAGATATGGTGAAAAAAAAGAACAATGGAGAACTACAGTCACTCAATTATTTTGACAAAGTCATTTTTTATTGTTATTTTTATTTTAATAGTAAAAAATGTTTTTATACAGAAGCTTTTATAATGATGATAGTAATAGTAAATAACTTTTGATTCAATTTGTTCCATTAGTATCCCATTCTATAAGGAAATATATAAAAAAGGTTTTCAGTTGCAGAACTCGATAGATATACATATTTATATATGTAAGAAAGCATTGAGGCTCAGGCATAGATATTCAAATATTAATTATGTTGCTTTCATATACAATAAACAACATACAAACAATTTTTTCATTTAAGTTTTTTTTTATATTTTTGAGAGGTTCCGAAATAAGGTGTCAAGTCTAACAAACGGCATTCACTAATCGGTCATTAAGTCTCATTACGAAGCCCTAAAGCTATCTCCAGTTCCAGATTAGAGATATTGCGCGTTCCAATACACTTCCCAAAGCCAGTGGGTCGGAAAGCAACCCTACCCAAGGTTCGTAAGAAATACAATGTTAAAACAAGACTTAGGACTTGCCTAAAAATCTCTCAACAACCATAGGCATGAAATAATACTCAACTAGACTGAAAGAATAAGAAAGAGTCTTAAGACTACATAATCATAAAACCACATATCAAATCTTATTTAACCAAACAAAAATTCTTCCATGAGTTAATATAAATCTTTAAACAACTAAATAATGTTAACCGCGACTCATCTTTCACCATTTGGGAATCAATCATCAGAGACAATGTTCATGTCCATCCTTTAGTTCCGCCTGCAGTACATAAGGAGGTCAGAGTAGAATACAAACAACGAACTATTAGTAAAAATATACAAAGTGCCTAAAATAGCTGCTATTGATTATTACAGATGCGGGGCACAGGCAGATTTCAATAAACTTTTTTCTTAGTTTGCTAAGTTGTTCCGAAAAACAAAGTTGGTGATGTGGGCCGCGAATACCCGGACATCAGATAAACAATCCGACCATGGTAGAAAATCGGTACATAAATGCGCCATTTTTAAACGCAGCGATTTCATATTTTCTAATTAATATATATATAATGAAACAAAACCCGGAAAGACTGTTAATCGGCGAAAAAGTTGTACTCACTGAATAGGTTGGCGTGAACACATTAATATACAAACAATCTTCATTCTCATTGTCGGAATCAGACTTCACTTGGAAACAAATATTATCCTTCTTTGAATCGTCTATTATACCTTCCCAATCGCTTGCTGGTTGTGGAGCCTTAAAAAGAAATGAAAATTTGTTATATTCATTTAACGCTCAGGAAAAAAGAACTTTTGAACATTTCATTGCAAAAAAAAAATCGTTAGTATTATACGATATGATGAATCAATTTTTCAAGAAAAAGGGCGATTTGATTGGAAACGGTTGGTTCATTTTAATGTACGGTGCCATCTTGAATTTTGAAATTCTTTTTATACAAAAATTTATAATATTAACCATGGTTAAAGTAAGTACAATTTTAAAGTTGAGGCTCCACCCATTTCTACAAGGAAAGTATTATATCTCCAAACACGCTTAACGCATTGTAATTACATCGGACTTGTTGCAAAGGGTTTTTTCCGAGGCTACCAAAGGCTGTCAAAGTCTTTTGATGGCCTACCGTTAGAATTACTTTGCGTTTGAAAAATGTTTATTGCATTAAATATGTCTTATTTAACTTCATTGTAATACCCTGTCTATAAAAAATCGACGCTTTAAGGAAGAAGAAAAATATTAACGATGTGACATTTTTCGTTGTTTTACAATATGCATTATTTGCCTGTTTACACCATCTTTTCGCAATACTTACATATTTCAAAGCGTTTTATTCGGCTTAACGATCTTGTTTTGAGTGACAAGGTTACTAGGCCGTACAATACAATGGACTATAGACGATACGTGGCATTGAATCACATGTATTCGGGAACTAATTGTCATATTTTTATGAAGCAGAACATGTAATTTCAATTTGACATTTTACAATTTCAATACACATTTTACACATGTTAGTATTAAATAATCTATTAATTCTAGTTATTAAAGAAAAACTAAGTGTAATTAGAAATAATTGAAAATGCAAAGATAATAAAGTACTGTCAGCTGCTGGGTAATTTTCTGCGACTCAAGGGTATCATAAAACAAGTAGAAGATAAACGCCAAATTTCATTTATTATTAAAAATAACAACCCATATAGTGGATTTGTTTTTCAAAATACAGCCTTTTTGCAAGTGTTAAGATATTTTAGTTCTTTCATTAGGTCAGAATAAAAATATTAAGATTTTGTGATATTTGATTATGTGCACAGATAGAGCAAACGGTATTAAACAAAATCCGTTTGAAATTTTCTCAGCTTTAAAATGGCACTTACTTACTTCGTGATAAATATTAGAAATTTTTGAAGAAAGCGATTTTTAAAATTCAACATAGTAATTGTGTGTAATGTGTAATGTGTTTTTTTGTTACTATTTTTACGACCGTCCATTTTTCTAGTACCGTATCTCGTTGCCTTTACTGGGACACCTGGTTTGTTTTAAAGAACACAATTATTTATTACAATAGTTTTAATGTATTAAAAATGTTTTGACTCAATTTTATTCAATAATTGACTAATAATACATATGTTCAGAAATATACCGTCAATTCGAGATGTTGCATAATTATAATAATTTTTTTTTTAATATATAAACACATACTTATAATATAAATTAATCTGCTCCTCGGGATTACTCTGAAATAACAATTCGTTTAAGAAAACTCATAATGAATTAAATTGGATTATATATTAGAAAAAACAATTTTTGAATGAAATTTTTTACGAATGAAAATATTTGCTAATGATTTTATGGCCCACTGTACACAAAAACGATTTTAATTATTTGCGTCATAGTCAGAGAAATGCTGTTACCGGCAAGATTTATCAATAGCGGACCAACTATTCAAAAAATCTTTATTTTTCTAACGAACGATACCAGGGCCAAAAAACCTTGTCGAAGATATTTAAAGTATCGTCGCAAAAAATTGTTTGTGTATTTTAGTGAATTAGGAATCTAGATAGAGAAAATGACTATTGAAATTTTTGAAGAGTATTTCTACCGGTATCAGAATTACTTATCATATAACATATTCAAGTAGGTATGCATTGAGTGGTTGTCCATTATGAGTGAAATGAAACATTAATAGTGGTCTTCCTCATAGAAATTGACTACAATTATTCAAAATAAATTTAAATGACCAATAAACACAATAATAAATTTGGTTAAAACGTTTCTGAAATGGCCACCAAAACTACATTTCTTCAAAAAATTCTAATATTAACCATAGTTAAAGTACTGTCTTAAAGCTAAGATAAAGTTTTTTTTTTGTTTACTATTGTTTATTGTTCTACAAAAAAATGGTGGAAGTGTTCGCATATTTTCTTAAATGAATGGTTAACCTATTTTATTAAACGCGGAGTGGCTCAATAGGACTTTTTCTAGACTATCATTCTTACTATGTGTCACGCAATCAGATAGTCAAATAAAGATCTAACAACCTAGTGAAAACCGCATCTTAACATCTTTATTCTGACTTAATATCTGATAAAAACAACTTAACGCTAAAAAAGGTGAAATTTGGGAAAATTTTGCGCTTTACAGGTTGTTAATATCAGAATTTAACAAATATTACACTTATTTGGTTCAAACAAAATTATCCAGTAGCTGACATTACTACATTGTGATACCCTGTCAAGTTTTCAATTAATTTAATAATATCACTATTGTTTTCATTAATTATTAAGTTTACTTAACTAAACCAAATCTAATAAATTGTTGAAGAGTATGAAATTGTCAAAACATAAAAATGTCAGCCAGAGAGTAGTTTGGTGCCCTTACGAAGGTATTGTGAAAAACGCAATAAAGATAAATAACATTTTATTTTGATTTTAAATAACATTTGAGAATTTACAAAAATCCATTAACGATTTTCTGTCGCAAATTCCTGATTACTAGGCATTGGTATCAACCGGTTAAGTGCAACTTCTGTCCAAAATCCAAATTTTTTTGTGGCGTTAAGTTCTTTTATTCACATTTTATGTTAGTTTAGCTTAGTTTTAGGTTAGAGTAAAGATATTGACCTGCAGTTTTCATCGGATTGTTGTGCGCTTATATCTAATGACAATGATAGTCATATCGGTGCATATATTCTTTTTGCAGACTTTTTTAAAGATTATGTCAGAAAGCGCCACCTAGTGGCACGGATAGCAGGATTTCTAACTTAGGAAAATCCCCTTGTAGCCACTCCAAAAAATGTTAACCTTTTTTAGAAATATATTGAATATATATAAGAAAATGTTCTAACATCCACCACTTTCCTTCCAGAGATAGAACAAATAGCATTACGCAAAATCATTTGAATTTGTCTCAGTTTTAAATCAGTATTTTTGTTGTAACCAACTCTTAAAACAGAATTTTCTCTTGACCGATATTGTTAATAATTTTTTCTTCAAAATTCTAAAACTTCTCGTTTCCCAAATGCCGTACACTGTTGATTTCGGAAACCCTGTATATGGTAAAGCAGGACAAAATCTTGATGATGTAAGTTTAAAAAATTAAAACTTTATATTAAGATGTTCCTAGATATATTTTTTGCACAAATATTCATCTAAACAAACAACTTTATACCCAAATGAACGTTTTATTTTTCATAAATTTTATCTGACTATTCCGGATATTTGTACAACCTCGATTATTGTACTCAATCGCTAACAAAATGAAAGTGGTTCCTGACCACTGGCAAAAATGTGTATGAAAAAACATAATTTCATATCTCCTAAAGCGATAAACCCCGTTTGTGACAATAAAACATCGTCAGCAATGCGAATTTTATTGAAAAACATCGGCTGATAATAATCAAGCAAAACAATTTTTTGAGTGTTTTTTTGTTAGTTTTGTTTTTCAAAAACATTTATAAACAATTAGATATACCTAACTGGTGAGCACTTAAAAAGCATTTTATTGTCCTCCCAGTCAAGAATCAGTTATTCAAAATTCAACAAGATAATGATTTTGAATTTTGTGTGCTGTTGTTTTTCTCAATTATGTATTGTTCTAAGCTTCACTTAAATATTAATACATTTTTATATAAGGAGTTTAAAATTTTAATGTCACAAATCTCACATAATGGGAATTTCAAAACGAGGGATGAGACACAGGATAGCTCCAATTAGGACAAAGTTATGGATGAACCCAAAAAAAATCCAGTAAAAAAACGATATTTTCCGAAAACATGGCGAAACAAGTGAATTTTCCGGTTTTTCATTTTATTTTTTATCAGATTATTGTAAATATTTAAAGAAAACCTACATCTAATTTTCTCATTGGATTTGACCTCGTGTGGTTTTCCGTAAGAAAATTTCACTCCAAATTTTGTCAAATAATTAAAATTTATTTGTCGATTTCCAACAACGACAACTTTTGTCTTCATCAAGTACCAGCAAAAACATAGAAGGTTTGGTGGACTTGATTATTTAATTGCAATGGCAACTTAACCTAAAAATTATTTCAGTTTGGAAATTGTCAATCGGTACGGTGTAACAAGCGGAACAAGAACTCCAAAGCTATAGTGTTACCAACGTTTTATGCAAGCAGTTGCAGGAATATTTTGTCGAAAGGTATAATCTCCACTGACATAGAATTTGTGAACCCAAGAGCTGAGAAAAAATGCTAAATGTCGGAAGCTACAAATGGATATTCTGTTATTATAAACGTCAAAAAATGTCCAGCATAATTCCACGAGAAAAAAATTTCTACTAAAATTCGTTCGCTGCCCATGGTTTTGTTTTGTAAAAAATTGCAGGTGTGGAATTTTCATTAGGTATTTTCAAGTTCATCTTTTATCTAAGTTTTTCAAGGCATCATGGATTTGTTCTGTGTCCATTAATTATGTCTTTTAAAATAACATATTTTTTAGATAATAATATTTATTACAATTCATCTAAATTCATATTATTATGACTTCTTGTAGATTTTTTAATTATTTGATACTATTTGATATCTTTAAATTTGTAATCACGTACAATTATTATATTAATAATTATATTATATTATCATGAACACCGTCAATCGATAAAAATTGACTTTAATTAGAGAATGATATTAAAACACGAACAGAAAATATTGAACATAGTGACTCATGGAAACATAAAAAACTTGAGACACAGCAAAAAAAATTCAAAATGAAAGTAAACGAAATCAAATACTGAGATCTGGACTAATATTAGTTTTAGGGTTTAACATGATATAAATGATTTGTTGGACTTGGAATTTACCGTACTTGTAATAGTTTACCACCAGTCAAAAATGATCGGTCTTGCAAAGAAAGTGACTTCGGTACAATCGGAAGTAAGCACATCACCCGCAAAAAACATTACAATGAAACAGAGCACTGGGTTCAGAATTCTAACCACGAATATTCTTACAGAAAGGCTACCATGAAGAACTCTGTATTTATTAATCCACAAAACCCACCTGAAAGCGTAATCTTCCTACAGGTGGTTGTGCGTACGGTATTCCCTGAAACGCGTAAAATTCCCCTTTTGTAAAAGTGTTCACTACAGTGCCTAACACCTTTCCATTTCGAATCTCTACGATTGGAGCTTCACTTGCCTAGAAATGTTGTGCAATTGTGCCAAATCTCCAAGTTAAGGACAAATCTTACCACCAAGGTGATAGCTGTTGCGATTACTATAACTCTCCTCATTATAAAACAAGAAATACAATGCAGTTTCTTACAATGACTGAATACTTGATTTGAGCAATGGCCTGCATCATAGCGGTTTTCTATGTTGTGTATGTCAAGTGCCGATACAGTGATAAACGATAACATAATACGCATAAGAAAATATATTTTATATACAGTGACTCTAGTTTTAGGTAGTACAAATATTATCAATCGTATATGCTGTATCCCATTTCCACCATAATAATTTTTATTAAAGTAATAAAATTGCAAAAGAAATAAATTTGGCTGTATTGTTTCAAACGAGGTCTATAATTATAATTGGTGAAATATAATTCAAACCAACGGACTCCCAGTGGCAACCCTGCAAAGTTGACTCGTCGTTGGGCTCTTGACTGTAATCTCGAAAGGTCCAGCTCGTCTCCTAGTTGAGTATCGGCTTCTCCTTTTTGCCATCTCGTAAGGGGTGCCCCGGAAACTATTGCTATGCAAGTGGTTTAGGCCATAAAGTTAGTGTTAATTTTTTCAAAGAAACTTGACGAGCATATTAGTATGCTATTTGCAAATATTCTGTATTTCTCCTCCCATCCAACAAGTCGGTATATAGTTGGCTGTCCAAGCTCAGTTTTACCAATCCATTTCGCAGCAACAAATTCAACAAATCAACCATTTTCAACACGAATACATTCACTGACATGACCGTCAAAGCGTGGGAAATATCTCCGAAAACATCCGATTGCTCCCAAACCCGTACGGTAAAAACCCGAAAATGTCCGAAGTGGCTCGGATTTGTGGGAAACGAAAATGACGTGGTAAAGTGATGCTTCCCGCACGTTAGATCGGTGTGTAATTAGGCATTTTACAGACGGGAGTAGAAAATAGTATATTATGCAACAAGTGCGGTAAACGGCATTTGACTCACGAGTTTTTAATAAACGAGTGAGTTAAAAAGTTTACCGAACGTGTTAATTATGTGATAGAATATGCTGATGAAATGCTAGCTTCAGTATTCCCAGTATCTGCGACTCGACGCTTGCATAAAAACTTTATATATATGAGAACTTTGTACTTTGTGTTCAGTTCTCCTTGTAACGGGTTAAATAAAACCTCGTAGTTCTGTTTGTAAAACAAAAAGGTGTTTTTTAAAAACGAGACCCTTCGTTCGAAAACCTTAACTGGCGCAATCGTGACGGATTTGGGGTAGTTTTCGGTCAAAGCACGTCATCGGGACGATGGATTGGATCGCGAAATGTGGGTTTCAACCCTAAGACTCCAAAACGAACCAGTGATAGACTGTCTGACCAACCCAACGTGATTGAGTTCGACTGAGGGCAAGGAAGGCAAGAAATCACCCTCGCAAGCAGTGCTATGCAAGGAAAATTCCAATAGGAAGAATAGGCTGACGACTAAGAGAAATCAAGGTTAGTGCCCAAAATTCCTATTGTTCATCTTCCCTGGTTAGGACGGTGGAAATAATTTTAGGATTCTTAGTTTTAAGTTCAATTTTAAGAAATTTCAAAATCAATTAAATTTATGAACGAAGATAAAGACGTCGACAATTTAAGTGCGTTTTTTACTTCGTTAAATTTTGTGGAAAAGAAAGTAGAGAATAGTCAAATCAATTTGAAAATGAATTCTAATCAATCGTCGAATTCAGGTGTAAATTACACTTTGTTAAAAATGTTTATAGATAGTATTCTGCCATATAATGGTGATCCCAACACTTTAAATAGTTTTCTATCAGCTGGAGATTTCCTTTTTGATACATATGGCCAAGCAAAAGACGAAATTTTAAAACAATGTTTGTTAAGGACTATACGAATGAAACTTGTTGATCGCGCACAAATTCTAGTAGGCTGTAGAATGGAGTTAGTAACGTGGGACAATATTAAAGTAGCTTTGTTAAATTGTTTTGGCGATAGACGAAACTTAGAATGTTTAGAACAGGATTTGTTTATGGCCACCCCCTTTAAAAATGAACATCCTATAGATTTTGGGAAAAGATTACAAGTTTTAAGAAGTATCCTTGCTCAAAAAATTAATGCATTTCCTGCCGATACTATGGATAGTGCAAGCAAAGTAATTCATTTACGTCAATACGATCAAATTTCTTTAAGGACGTTTATTAGAGGATTACCAGGACAATTACCAAGTATTGTAAGACTTGAAAATCCGAGCTGTATAGAATTAGCTATGACCCAAATTACTGAAGAGGAAAATTTTCAATATACACAAAATATCTTCAGAACTCCAATTCAATCGAAAGTTTTGCCTAATACTTCTATCGAAACCGTTAAACAATTTTCACAAAATCCAAATTATTTTAGTAACCAAAATTTTAATTATGTACAACCGATTTGCCCAACAAATTATTCTCAAAACAACAATCACCATAACCAAAATTTTAGAATTAGGCATGATCAAAATCAGTTTACTCCCAGGACTAATAGTTTTCCCAGAGGTCCAATTAATATGCCTCATACCACGCGAAGTTTCAAGAAATTTTCCTACAAATAGGCAAGTTTTTGGCCCACCTAAAAACGTATTTAAACCGACAGGTCAGGTACCTAACAATAAACCCGAACCTATGTCAAGAAGAACAAACTATACCATACCACGCCAAAATAATCAAATTAACCATTTCAAACCTACTGGCTCTAGAAATTTTATTTCGCAAAAATTATACCAAATCGACGAAAGTAACGCGGTACAAACAGATGAAACATCTGCGGTATTTCAAAATGAAAATATTCACCAAGAGGAATAATCTGAAATTGAATTTTCAAATCAAATTGAATACTTTAATGACACTCAAAATTTTGACGAACACCCTGAAATTGAAAATCAAATCTCTCAAAATTTTACAATAACGAGCCAATGCGACTCAACGAAATGACATTAGAAATGTATACCGAAATTAATAATAGTTTACCGTACATCCAGATTAAAGAACCCGCAATTAAACTTTTAATTGATGCTGGTTGTTTTCACTCGATTCTTCGACCTTCCATTGCAGAAAAATTTTATTATGAAAAAATATGTCATTCCCCAACTATTATTAAAACAGGAACTGGTGAAAAGGAAACTCTATTTAACGCAGATATTCCGGCTTTCCCAGAATTAAAGGCTAATACCAACCTATCTATCTTTTATTCTTTTTGACTTTCATAAATTTTTTGACGGTATATTAGGATTAAACGACCTAAAACGTTTTAATTTTTCTATCGATCTTGTCAATAAACAATTAAGGAATAATACAACTAATATACCAATTTTATTTAGACAACCACAAAACGAAATATATTGTATTGCTGTGAATGCACACGAAATTGTTAACGTAAGAATTCCAGTAACACAAAACAATGATGTTATTATTCATTCATTTCAGTCATTGAAGGTCTCTATTTTCCAGAAACACTTACTTTATGCAAAAAACGGAACCAGAAAAAACGCAAACAGAAGTTTTTAATTACACTGAGTTTTATTTTTCCCACAACCTCTAAATGTTTTATCTTTTCCGGACTTTCATAAAGAAAATTTTGAACTTTTTAATTTAGAACACATCTTACCAAAACATAAAGAACAATTTAGTAAATGCGAAATTTCCAAAATAATTCGTTGCGAACATTTGAATTTAGAAGAAAAATCTGCTATAATAAGGCTTTGTAAAGAATATAACGATATTTTCCATCATGAAAACAAAAAGTTAACATTCACCAATAAAATCAAACATTGTATAAGAACAACGGATGAATTGCCTGTATACACTAAATCATATAGATACCCCTTTATCCATAAAGAGGAAGTTCAACGGCAAATTAACAAAATGTTAGACGACGGAATCATTAGACACAGCCAAAGCCCTTGGAGCAGCCCCATTTGGGTAGTCTCGAAGAAACCTGACGCCAGCGGCAAGCAAAAATGGAGGATTGTTTGCGACTTTCGTAAGGTAAATGAGAAAACGATAGACGACCGCTATCCATTGCCTAATATAAATGATATACTCGATAAATTGGGACGGTGTAATTATTTTTCAACTATCGATCTTTCATCTGGTTTTCATCAGATCGAAATGGATCCGGAATCGATTGAAAAAACAGCTTTTAGTGTCGAGAATGGTCATGGTTTGTTAGAATGCCTTTTGGATTGAAAAATGCCCCCGCGACATTCCAGCGCGTCATGGATAATGTTTTGCGTGATGTACAGGGAAGGGTTTGTCTAGTATAACATGGACGATATCATAGTATTTTCGTCATCCCTAGAAGAACACATCAAACATCTTAAACTTGTTTTTCAAAAACTGCGACAAGCTAGACTAAAAATTCAACTAGATAAAACGGAATTCCTACGAACCGAAGTAGAATTTTTGGGTCACATAATAACAAAAAAACGGAATTAAACCGAATTCCAAGAAAATTATTGCAATCCAGAAATTTCTTGTACCGAAAACAGCAAAAGACATTCACCAAGCCATTCACAAATTGTCTAAAGAAAGGAGCGACCATCAAACACACGCCAGAATTTCTAGAAGCATTCGATCTTTGTAAAAATATCTTGTGCAATGATCCAATACTACTATATCCAGATTTCGAAAAACCTTCTATATTGACAACGGACGCCTCTAATGTTTCTATAGGAGCGGTTCTCAGCCAAGGAAAAAATGGTAGAGTGATCTTCCCATAGCCTTTGCCTCTAGGACATTGAACCCGGCTGAATACAATTACACAACCATAGAGAAAGAATTATTAGCAATCGTGTGGTCAACAAAATATTTCCGACCATATTTATTTGGCCGAAAATTTGTGATAGTTACCGATCACAAACCTTTACAATACCTGTTTAATATGAAAGAACCAAATTCCAGATTGCTAAGATGGCGACTAAAACTGGAAGAGTTTGATTACACAGTTCATTATAAGAAGGGCAAACTGAACACCAACGCTGATGCCCTGTCACGCATCGAACTAAATATGATAGATAAAGAGTCACTTTTCGGAAATCCTGGAGATATTAATGAAGACATCGATAAATACATACATGTAGAAGATCAAAATATAAGCCTTGAACAATTGGAACAAATTGAAGACGTGT